CTCACCAAATGTCCCCGAAGCGAAGTATTGAATCCTGTAGAAAGGGGTTGGAACTAATCTGTGACCATGCATAGGCGATCTTCGGCCTCCGAAGTTCCTCCGATGTGGGTACACAAAGTGGTTTGAGAGCCGAGAATCCTATTTTGGAAATAGGGGGATCTTTGGATGTATAATGCATGTCTGGATTGTGGTCTTGTTTGATTTATATATTGTTTGTGGTAAGTAGGATTGTGCAGCTATGTGCCATGTTGTGAAAAGAAAATCATGGATGTTTGCGTTGTTGGGTTTCTTTTGCTGTTCAAAGAGATGAGAAACTAGAAGAATTAAAGACTGCAGGTTTGGAAGTCAGTGTTTGGCTCTTTGAGGGAAGAAATCTTATGCTCAAATAAGGGAATATGATGCCCAAAAGCGATGACTCACTGAGAGTTTGCTTGCAGTGGAGTTAGTTTTTCGATCCATTTTCTCTCATCCCAGAGATGACTGAAAACGCGTGCGGCAAGAGCGATTAACGTGTCGGCTGAGTGATATATGTGCTGGATGATATTGATGTTGTTAGGGTTCAGTGATGTGCGCATATACTATCTGGGTGTGAGAGACACATTGAATTCAGCCTGGAGTCTGTGCCTCGTATATATAGATGATGGGAGTATTGGGAGAGAAGGCTGATCATCACCATCGGCGAAGCTTCCTCCCGGGCAATCTTCTTTAGAGTCCGAGACTGTTGCCTCACGCTAAGTGGATCATCTGCGCTTCTCATAGCGAAATTTCTCAAATCACTTCTCAGGAGCACCAGTTTACACCTTGAAGACCATTTAGGTTCACTTCGGTTTATGGATTGCTACAACTTGTGGTTCTGCACAAGTCTCCAGCTTCCCATCGTTGAGGCGCAATCACTTTGTTCAATCTTGATACTTTCCGTCAATACTGGCAAATTTTACATCAACAGTAATTCAAAGACAGACACGTTGCACCTGTTTTTCCCATTGTTCGGGTATTATCAATGCTAACTGATACTGGATTAGATATGTCAAAATGCCGACTTCGATGGATGGATCTCCAAAGCTTGACCGGTAGAGATAAGGTTATGTGTTGCGAGTAACTAGTTCGCGATCACAAGCAAATCATCAAGGCTACGAAGTATTTGGCGTTCTATCGTAGCTAGTCCTCTACGACTCATGTTTCAAACTGCGGACGAACGAAGCCATTATTCTCCACCAACAAATATCGCCTACAACGTCCTGTTGAGTCCATGGTCTTGTATCTACCTCGTGAGGTTGCGATAGAAACATTCTTGCAGACTAGCTGCGATTTTAGCAAGCATTAGAAAGTCTGAGCTAACCCTCATCTCAATGCGATTGTGGATTGTGTGCAAGAATTGCTTCGCTTTATGGACGTTCAACAATAAGAAGACTTGAAAAAGCAGGAAAGGGATACTCAGATGTACTACAACAACACAGTTCACTTCAAGGAGCTTCCTGCGATGATTACTATGATTTCAATCCCCGCGAAATCATCGAATGTGCGTATCAAGAGCCTTGAGAGCTTGATCCTCAAGAAGGCTGGAGCCATTGCTGGTCATTGCGAGCAAGCTAGCTTTTTTTTCTTCTCATGATATCTGCGCTTGATCAAAGGGTACGTTACTCATTGACCTTTCATGGTAGCAACGTGACTCACTTGTATCTATAGTCAGATAAACGCAACAAACCTAAGAAATCTGCCTACGCAAATAAATCCAGAATCATCGATGATATTTCAAATACAGAGGCTGAGCTCGAGGTTAAAGCAGCTTTGACTACTCAGAATATATTGTACTTTGAAGCAGTATTGGCAACTCAAGCTATACTGTAGATGAAAACTGCTCCAGATAACGAAATTACGCTGCAAAATGAGGTCACTTGCGGTATATTCTTCTGTGGATTATGCTTCATTAGGAGTATCTTCAGTTAGTTAGTTTCTTATACTTGATAGCTATTCATCTTTAATTTTGACCGCGATGGAAGGTAGACCACAAGAATTAAATATTTAGATCAGACACAGATATAATTCGAATGTATATGGGTAATATAGGTCCTGGAAAGGTATATGCCCAGCGAATATGGTGCAGAGGTTAGAGAAGAACAAACATCACCCGAATTTGAAGCTCGAGGCTTTTGCTAAGTTAACGAGGGGGTAGTTTCTCCTTTTCTAATGTGGGGAAGTCACTGTGTCACATTTTAGTCTCTCTCAAGCCTTTCTTTCATTTCTCCTTCCTTGAAATTTCTCTTACTGCCAGAAACTTTCCCGAATACTTCACAAAATCACCCACATCATTTATTATTCATTTCACGGTTGAACAACGAGATCACCAAGAACATTCTACCATGAATATCAAAAAATGTAGCTTTATAGGCCTGTACTTGGTGGCTCATCTCACTTGCTTTTCTGATCTACTTGCTACGACTCATACAACACAGATCCATATATTTTGCGAGTTTTTTGTACTCAATTTCAGATCCATGGATAGGATGAGGGTCAATAAAGATCAATTACCTAGGCAAAACCCGATACAGAATGTTTTCGGAGGAAGTATCGAACAAACATGAAGTAATGCAGGGCTAAGTTACTATGATATGCAGGTACTACCTACGGCTCTCAATGTTAAAGTAGTGATGCTGGAGATCAAAGTTTATTGCCAAATATATCCACTTACATCGATATTCCAGTGAGTACCTCAAATAGCATCATTTTCAACTTTGAAACCGGCAATATTTACAGCGATGAGCCATATTTGACCGCCAGCAGGTACATACTATGCTAACTTGACTATTGTCGGCTTTGCTGATAGCGAAAATAGCATGAATTCTCACTAAAGCTCATACTCCGCATCCTGGAGAAACCCTGATGAGGGACTTTGTTCACACTTCACCCAGAAGCCGATATCTTGTTTGGAAATTTGGTTTTGGATATTGAATGCAGATTTTGGAGCGTTCTTCTTCGTTAGCCCATCAGCGCATAATCCTAATACAACCTCATATCCAACTTCATTGAGCCCGATGACACGGAGGGCAAAAAATACCACCAATATATACGTTTTCGACACTGAACTTCTCATTTGGTGAGTTCTTCCTTTCGTCGGAGCGCGAGTTTTGTATTATATCTCTTCTATGCAATGAGTGACATCGTGATACACATTTTGCTGGAAGAAGAATCATCAGCTTGAAGCTGGCTAAGTGGCTAAGAAACCCTCAAGTTGTGAGGTCTAAACCCCTGTTATTTTTGCCTTGCTTTCAGCGTTTGTTGTGGCCAAGGAGAACCTGTTAGTACGAACGAATGAAATAAAACGCTTCATTGTCTGATGTATCACAAGAGTGAAGTACTACTAGAGGACTGCTCTCATTGAATATTCATACATATCTTACCGGTTTTCGTCATATATATATTGTCACATGAAAACCTAATATGAAAAGATTTCATTATCCGCTCGCTTGAACAATATGGCATAGCCAGATACGGAGTCTTGAACGAATTTATGCTTCTTGCTTGCATTAGGTTATAGTGAAAGGACTGTGATCACAGAGTATACTCGAGTAGAGAAAGAAGTGCTCCATGGCTCATTATATTGATGTAGCTTTACTGCTATCAGAGAACAGTTCCGAATGGATTGATAATCATTAAGGCCAGTTCGAGAAGTTATGACTACCCAAAACACCTCCGAGATAGGTATTTCACATTCTTGAGGCTATTCCTGAAGATAACCCAGGTATTAGCAGACCATTCAGAAAGATGAGTTTCACTCTCCTGTTGGAATCAAGTGAAGGAATTATTTCCAGCCAGAATATTCCGATGAAGAGTACTTACCGCTCTATTTCTGACCTATGGAGGCTAATATTGGTAAAATACCTCACTTGAGAGTACTAAAACTGTCTAGCTTACTTCAAGTACTCAGATGTTGGTAGCTGAGCTTCCAAAAAGATTAGCTTTATATCGTTTATGAATTACTTACTACAAAGTCACTACAAGTGGGTGGTTTAGAAGGATAGCATTGCAATGTTTTATTTATTCCCAGGAATCATGTTATCCCTCGCGTCCTATTCAATTATTTAACACTTACTAGGTTGTCCGAAGGAATCGGCGGTCCGCATCACTGAGACGAAAAAGAAGATTGAGCCACCCTATGACAACTCCCCACGACGAAGATACTATACCTGATCAAATCTTGAAGGGGAACGTGGCAGTGCTTCAGATATGTTTGAAAGTGATGCTATCACTCGCGGAATACTCGAGCATAGAGTAATTTGTCATCTATCCGAAAAGTGGCACTGAAGCTATCACAAGCAGAGGGCTAAGACAAGAAGATGCCCTATTGACTGACCGATTGTTGAGATGGAAGCTATTTTGGCCCAAAAGTTCAAATGTAAGATACTTTAGATCCCCAGATACTGTTATAATGAAGGTTAAGATGAATCAGGTGGTGATTTAACGGTCATTTTGTCTTGATAGGATGAAAAAATACCTGGGGTGGAGGCATAGTGTGCAATCACCCAGTAGTGAATTTATATCTATTCAACCCGTAGTATAGCCTTGTCAGCTGTTTGTTTAAGTATGAGGCTGGTTAAGAGGAGTTATAAGGGTCAGCCTTATCGACTGATAAGCTAGTATTACTGGAATATTCGATTGTTTTCTTTCAATAATCTCGGTCCAGTAAATATTCTTTCCAAGATCAACAACTTATAACAACCAAGATCCTGATACCTTTTGGTAGGGATCTTACACCATATCTACCCTACTGGAGGGGTCTCTCCAGGATTGTAAGTATCTGTTTCAATATACATCGCTATAGTAGCAGATTCATTCAGGTTCCACTGCCTCCATTAACAATTTCATTATCTCAACGCTTTTACTAACACCGTATGAAAACAGCGCTCCCAAAATCTATATAAAAAGCCAACTTTCTTGCCAAGTTTTTCAGATTTGCCTTTTGCACTTCAATGCACATCATCTGTTACGACATAATCGCCAACATGTCTGACCTCGCCGAATTTACGCTGTTCCCCAAGCTGTCATCTGAGATCAAGGCTATGGTTTGGGACCTGGCCTCGCAAGAACCTAACAGAATTCTATTTGACTCTTGGAGGATCCGCAAGAGAAAGTACCCAAAGAGAAAAGTAACCACCCCTATCTCGGAGAGGGATAGGATCTTCTGTGGCAGACATCCTGATTATCCCAACCCTCGCAGGCTCTGGGCTCAAGGCAGAGTTCCTGCGGTACTTATCACCTGCCGGGAGTCTCGCTATTGGGCAATGAAGCACTATAGCTTGTGTTTCGGGGATCAGCTGTATTACAAATCTCTCTGGTTCAACCCCAAAGTCGACACACTCATCTTCAGCGACATGTTTGCGGCCTTTTGCTTTGGCTGGGGTGGTGTGATTAAACGTGGCGCTATTCCACTCATCCGAGATAGCTTTACTATGCCAGTCGTGGAGAGGGTTGTTGTTCAGGATACTCTTCGTGCATATTTCTACGAAAAAGCGACAGAAATGGCCTCAAATTTTCGTCACCTGAAGTCACTTGTTATGAGAACTGATGGGGTTCCAATCGAGATCAATAGTGTCTGGTGGTGGGAAGATGGCTACTCTATACACCAACCTTCTCTCCGAATTTTCATGCAAATGTTTTGGGATACAGAATGGTGGAAGGCCACCAGAGCGGTTGACAAGAAGCCTGAGTTCCAGATTATGACGCCAGAAGAGATGTGGGATGCTGTAAGTTGATACTTATAGCATCAGTGATTTATGGATAATGGACTAAGCACTAATTGGCTCTAGGGTTTCGCTAAGCCATTGGGCCCCTCACACAAACTGAACCGTCGACCAAAAATATACAAGGCAAAGGCAGCTCAATTGCTGCCACTTCGTCGTTCAAATCGTATCAAGGCGATTGAAGCAACAAGCGGTGTTGAGCTCTAGACCATGCTCGGGATGGATGCAATCGTTGGTAGATGTAATTTTGTCAGCAGATGGATATTGGGCGGCACAATGGAACGAAGGTGCTCTCTCATATTCAAAATCCGACTTTGGTACAGTTTAATACTTTACTGAAGGCATTTTGAGTCATGTGCCGAGATAGTAGCTTGCCGCTTGAGCCTAGAGGATGCCAGACCCAAACCTTCTACTAGCATCTTACTATTACTTCAAGTTGATATTTCAATTTGCGCTATACAAGAATGTAAAAGATGCAGACATTTTGCTTTTTCCTTCCTGCAAATCATAATCAATTCGCTCTATTAGAACAGACATGTTGTGCGTCAAGAACTCATGGTAATTCGACTGACGCCGGAGATGAGAGGTTCACGTGATATACAATATCCCACAATGGCAAAGACCCAAGTTCTTATTAGTCTGTACTAACTACTCCGCAGCCCAGAGATTGAATCTCAATAGTGAAGACGCTAGAATCTTTCCGTGGATGTAAGCCCAATTCGTATTTGACAGTGAATTCCATGAAGCCATGTCGTTCTAGAGTGACATGGTAACTGTGCTACAGCCTTCATGTAACGTATCTCCTCGGCAATTCCAAGTCATGGAAGAATAACCTAAATCTATGTAAACAACCAGTTGCACTTAGAAGGTTGAGATACGGACAAACTATGAGAGGCCCGTTCTAAGAAAGCTAACAGCAACGTGATTTACTTATATGATCTCTATGTTAGAACCAATAGCAGGATGCTTTGGATCAGGATATATAGGAATGGAAGATCCTACTTTGTGGCTGACTATACGGCTTGGGGAGAATCCTAAGGGCATCCAAAAAAAAGGGGAGAAGTGGTATGAGACCTGTACAAGACTGCCTGGTTTCTAATTTAGAAATCACTGATTGAGAGGTTAGAACTATTAAGTTCTGGTAACTACAATACAGAAAATTACATCATGAGAAATTTAGAATGTTCTTGATAGTTCCATTTATGTAGTATTCACTTTCATCTTCTACTTTGAGGGTGGTGAAACCTCCGCTCTGAATTGTAAGCGGCCTAACAACAATGCCACAATCTTCTCTGATTGTTTACTCAATAATTTGACACGTCGATCTATTTCACAGGGTGGAAGAGGAGGGTAGCCTATAGAGAAACCGACGTTTCCGTATCTATGCGGTGGGAGCCGAATTCGATTATTGTCTAGAAATTCTTGCAGCCGTATCAAAGTAAGCACAAAGGTGCGAATTCCTTACAAAGACTTACATATTCTCTTCAAACTAACTCTTTCTCACAAAGATATCATACAATATTCTTGAGATGCATCCACATACTTTTGGTATACTCCGAATGGAGGAGAGCCTGAGGAGGATGCAAATATTCGAATCTTTTGATCCCCTCACCATCGGCGTCGACCACAACCGAAACTCTTGGTTCAAAGCAAGACACGCGTTTTGTCTATTTCCTAAATTACCACCGGAACTTCAGCTTATGATCTGGGCTGCGGCTGCGGATGATAGACAGATTGTTCGCATAAAACCTTGTGCAGAAGATGGATCAGGAGGGGAAGGATTTTTGGCTGACTACACAGCGCCAGTTATTTTATAAGTTTGTCGAAACTCCAGACAGGAGGCGCTGAAGAAGTATACTGTAATATTCGAGGGAATTCTTCGAAATCCTATCTACTTCAACTATCAGCAAGATTTTGTAAGCCTTGTTGGTAGTAGCACACTTGAGCATTTTACAGTTCTCTCGGGGGAAGACAATACAATTTCCGAAGAGATTCAAAGGATTGAGAATGTACTCTTGATGGTGACAGGTTTAGGCAGTGGGGAGAGTGAGGAAGATGTACTGATTGATGCTTTGGCTATTTGGGATGGTGTCAAGCGTCTTATCATTGCAGAAAGATCGCCAACATGGTGGGGTACATTCAAAGAGATTTGGTCGGACAGGGAGGTGAAGAAAATCTCTGATGACGCCAAAGCTAAACATACCAGGGAGAGACTCCACACGCCAGGCTTCCCAGAAGTTCGTATTGTCAAGTTCGGTGATGTTCTGAATACAGTTGAAAGCAATGAAAACCAATCATCGTAAGTGATAAGATCTGCCACTGTCTGTTTTCTATAAGCTATTCATTCCATTGTGTGCTTTGACTGACTCATGTACCACAGGGGAAGTACATACGCCATGCTTCGATTTTTCGATTTTTTGTTTGATGCTGACTCTACATACAATACCAAGAGGTAGTCGGATGATGATATCGACTCAGCAGAGGTCTAAAAGCAATGGGTCTTTCATTTTGGTCACTAGTTAAATGGTAGTTTGCAATAAAGACAGCTTTGAGAATTGCTATAGCTTTTTCATGTTTGTGGAAGTTTGGTTGAAGCTATTGTCAATTAGACATGTCAGACAGTGTTAATAAAATATTTGGAAACTCTGACAATGTCTTAAGCTTCATAGAGTAATTTTAGAGCCCTTCCACCTAAAGAAATGTCTCCAAGTTTCATGTACCTGTTTTGTGAGTTTGAAGATGTTTACAAGCCCTGTTGGTTGACTCATGTATATATAACAGGGTACACGCATAAAGTATCTACCAATAATTAACAAAATAGATATTGATATTTTGTGTTTATCTATCTATCAGTCAACTTTTGAAGTCCTTGAGATCAGATTGTGCTGGCAAACTACCATATTACGCTCTGGGTATAATAAACCCTCCTTTAGCCGAGCTCTCTCCGCATGAATAACAAACAATATTGGGCCTCTTTCCTTAAGCTGCCATAACAGTTGCTAATTATTAATTCGACATCAATTACATACAATAATTATCGAGCCATATTCCAAAATAATAAACAATGGCGACAATCATGCTAGACTGATTTACATGCTTTCCTCAACTATCTATCGAACTTCAGATGATAATTTGGTCTTTTTGCCCTCTCACCATTGGAAAGCAAACTATAAAAATTACAGAGATACCGAGGGAGAATCTCTGCAGAGCTGTGAGACGCAATGGAACACCGAAGATTCCGAAGTCCTTTTCTGAGACTTTTCCGAATAATAGTTTCATCAGCGTCAAGTACATCGTTCCCTCTCCTCTCCACGTCTGCCAAAGCTCCAGAGAACTGGCTCTTAAAATCTATAGACGAGTGCCTACTACCTACGGCAATACCAGTGAAGGATCAGCACCTTTCTACATCAATGCCGACGAGGACTCCATTCTATTCGAGACTGAATATAGATCCGGGTCCACCCGTCCGGCACTTCGATTCTGGGTTCTCGACGGCAAGACTTTTTCTACCCTTAATGGTGAGAGTCTCTGTAACTCGGTCGCCACTCGTTGGATAAGTAGTGAGCCGTCAAATCATGAGCACGCTCTCTATATGCTATCCAGATTTCCTAATATCAAACATCTGTATTTTCTAGATTGTCCTTCGGGACCTCCACCTCAAACACCTCGTGGTAATAGCCACATACAGTGGATGAGTAGGGATCAGATGGAGATTGTAGTCAACCGATGGCCGAACTTTTACTTGGGGTTAGTGTCGAACACAAGAGTGGTTGAGTGTGGAGGAGATTTGACGGATATATTGAAGGGCCAGGGTATCTATCGGGATGAGTGGAAGATGCCTCTCGTAAGCTGCATTACTTCCGAGGAGTTTAACAACCTCTGAGTGTTTGGCGATCAATCAAATAAGGTGAGTAATGCTGGTACCGACAGCGTCGATCGTTACTTTTCTATCAGGAGAACGTGTACTGATTGTATACATCTAGACAGACTCTAAGTCATGCAGCCCAAATGTGAAGGATTCAGGATTGTGTTCATATCGGCGAAAGGGTTTAGATTTAGAGAGGATGCTTTGCATATTGGTATCAGAATAGATCAAGGGGTCCAGAATCACGGAAGAAGGGTTCAATATTGAGGATTAAAAAAGCGCATCTCGAGTTCTCTTTCATTTGATGAATGTTGTGTTATCACCGAAAGCATAGCAGGCAGATCTACAGACTTCCACTTTTTCAATTGCCAGATACTCTCATAATTTCAAGACTTCAGTTCTGGTTCTACTTGTTTTGGATTTGTGCTGAGTGGAGTGCACATTTGGATTTCCCCAGCTTATTGAGGTTTACATTCTTGTATGTTCCTTGAGTGACGACGAGGAAGGTGGTAATTGGTTCCAATGATCCTTAAATATGGATGTTATAAGGACTAACATTATCCTCTGTAATATCTAGCTATGGGATGCTGTAGATAATGAATTCCTGGAAAGACATAGAGGCTCATGATATAATTGCTTCTATTTAGTCTGACTTCTGACTTCAGGCTGACTTTCAGCCTCATTGCCCTAAACAAGCTTTTTTTTTAATATTTAACCGAGAATAATAACAACTTCGCTTTTTCATTGTAATAAGATTATTAGAAAGCCATGTATACTTGGGTAGTTACGGGTATATACAGCTACCCCGCTTACATTCACTACTACTCGAGTACTCGAGTAGCTTAGTTCTTGTTTACTTATTACACACACTTTAGCATAGCTTAGATTCTCTACCTTAATATTATCTACATAGCACTTCTTACAAAGATATATTAACCACACTTTTGCATCAACATACAAATAAGAATCACACTTTAAGATGGCATCTTTGGCCCATCAAATCAAGACCCGTCGGTGGGAAAAGAAGAAGAAGCATACCCTTGAACAAAGAAGAGAGGGATCTATTTCGACATATACCGACCAAGACAGCATTGATGAGCACCTACAAAGCTTAGCCACAAAACACCTACCCATACTCGTAATTCCCGAAACTACTCTTCCCACATTTGCTTTGTTTCAAGACTTGCCACCCGAACTACGACTTAAGATTTGGAAAATCGCATCTGATGAGCCTAGATTTATTGGGTTCAGCGAAACAACCCGGAAGAAGGAGCGTTGCTATTATATGGTCAAAACCAGGTATAGGAATTGGCCAGTTAAAATTGAGACAAGATGGTGTTTCCTTGGGGGCCTCACCTACGAGGATAATGCCCCATGTCTTCTTTGGGTATGTCATGATGCTCGAGAGATTGCAAAGAAGAATCGATCTCAACCGTTCATCAAAGCATACGGAAACCCGATCTATATCAACTTTTCAGTCAATATCATTTTATTCGATTGTCATCGGTCATTTACACAATTTTATGACTATATTGGAGCTCCCGAACAAGAAAAGATCTTTGCCACCGGTAGGACCCATAGCTTGCAAGACAGCAGATTATTGATTTTAGGATATGACTAACAGCTTACTACAGAAAGGCCAGCCATCATCTTAGGTCCTTGTAATCGCGATCGATTCGAATCCTTCAGTTAATTTCTTGACTAGAGAGGAAAAAGTTTTTTATCTTGAGGGAAAGGAAAGGAAATAAAGGAAAGGGGAGGAGAGGAGAGGAGAGGAGAGGATAAATGAAAATTGAATATCCGGAGGAGACAAATGATTTTTAAGGTTCAGGAGAGAAGGGGAGAGGAGAGATAATTCAAAAAACCTTTGTAATTATTATTTTAATATAGAATTTGAAGCTACCCCCATTATATTTTCGTTATTATCGTTGTAGGTATAGAAGTTGGAATTCTCTTTATTTCATATTATGATTGCCAGCGGCTCAAATTTCCTTCAAACTATTGTATATTTTGACTCTATCAATACAGGTAGACTATTTGATCACATGATATCTACTATCTTTTCCTATCAGGATGAAAATAAATAGGATATTTTTAGAGGAGAGAGAGGATGTCTATGAAATCGATAGGATTTAGTGGTTTCTCCTTGGCCTTAGAAGCGGAGGGGAGTTTGAGAACGCTGAAACTATTGGCGGTCAGAGGCGCGCCGCACTGGGGGAGAAATGTCAAGGGGTTGTTTGCAAGGCGCATTGGATTTCGCTGATCTATGTAGTGGCACATCGATGAAAAGTTGAAGGCTGTGAGCTAGGTTTAGGAAGGTACACACAATCAAACTAGAGGAATACATGATGAAGGAGTGTTTACGTCAAGAGAACATGCCATAAGCATTATGATTCTGAGAAAGAGAGAAAAAGAATACCAACCTGTCGACTAACTGACTTTCACACAAATCAGTATGTCCATCTTCATCCTCTCTGAGCTTGACAGCACTGCACAATAAAATAAACATGAAGCCCAACTTTGTATTGTGAGAGATGAGCAATACTATGACCATTTATCTCTAGAGAATCTGTTGATTAGGGCGCCGATCCGTCATATTATCTCTCAATTGTACTTAATACGCTTCATCCACCGATAGGATAGTTCTCATTTTTCTCTTATTCTTGTGTCTATCATAGTCTACCTACAATCAACACTCATGTCTTTTTCGAGCCAATTTGCTATATTTCAGTAATAGTGCGTAGTAGAAATCTGAAGTCTAATCAGTAGTACCTCTTCACAACCTTCAAATTACTACTACTGGAAAACTTTCTATCCAATACGGATGATACTTAGCTTAATACTACATAACTCATTCTACCCTTTTGTTCTTATAAAATTGGCTCCGGCCTCTAGTAGCCTCATTGTCATTGTCAATGACAATGAGGTCCTGGTCCGCAAATGGTACCCGCGGGGCAGATTATTGGTCTGATGGATAACGCACGGGCTACACACCAACAGGCGGGGTGATTGGAAAATCTGAATAGGTACCCATAGGTTATTTGCAGGTACCCGTTACTAACCTATCAATCTATAATTTATATCCACTATCCACAGATACTCACATATAACCTACTACACAACGCGAATTATTTTAAAATCCCAATGAAAACTTACAGATAATAATCGGAAATTTTCAATAAGTAATCCGTAGTACGGATTACCCATAAGTACCCATAAATACCCATAGATTACAAATAACTTTTATATAGCCCAAGCCTCAAGATACTTTTATGGCTCATCTTAGACAGAAAAAGTTGATCATTATGATTGTTTGGCAGAGAATGAGTGTTTCCATGGTAGTCCAAGATTGGAGAAATAGGAATTACCATATGTTTTAAAAGATTGAAGGATAATCAGACAAAATTGTTTCGATAAGATATCTATTGGTTGTTGCAGATAACAAAGATATGAAGAACTATCAGCGGCACTTCTAGATGATGATACTATCAGTGTAACAAAATACATCAGGGAACTAATAGATACTCAATCAATTTTTGAGACACCATACTATTCAATAGCCCAGGACATAATAAGTATAAAAAACTTTGATCGAATATATAAGTAACAAGAGTATTAAAATCATGAATTATGGAATTTATATATAAAGACTGTCGAATGTCTTTCAGGCGGTCATATCACTTGTGTAATGAGCTGTAATAGAACTTCAACAGGTACTATTTTGATTTTCAGATGTTATAGTACGATCAGTATTCAACAATATAGAGATATCAACTATCTCCTCGCTGAAAATATAAATCAGGTGACGATAAATGTGATATATCATAAGAAATGCAAGAAAACTATGGGCTTGACTTCATATACAGATACCGTTAATGTAATAAATCTATATCTGAAGATACAGAAGTTATTACCGAACTTGGGAGCGAAGATGTGATTTGTGCGCCCTATCATATCAACAAGTAAGGAAGTGTTCACTGATCATTCAATACGTGTTTGATTGAAAACCAGAAACGCGGCAGAAAGGTAACAAGTATTCACTGAACTTGTAAATGAAGATGGCGCTAATAACACAGATTAGTTTTTAAACGAATATGCGTACCGAATACGAAAGGGGTAATGACTAAGCAAAACTACACTCACAATGCAACTACGAGACCATTGCTGCCTTCTATGTCTTTTATGAAGGGATTTTACCCTCAATATCTCCACTCTTCACGTAATTAATTCATTTATAGTACTTATTCATATGTTCCGTGACATTTTTGGGCAGACGCCGCAATCATTTGACAGGAGGTGGTACAATCCGCATACAGGACGGTTATCTTCGATCTGAGATACTTGCCAGTATGTTGAACGTCATGATATGGAGCAGTGGAACTTGATGTGGGCTCTCTTGCCGTTCAAATATCTTCGCCTGGGCTTCTTGTGCCCTTCCCGAGCCTTTTCATGGCAACTGACAGAAGCCGTAGATTGACGTAATACGAAAGAGGTCTCAGGCCTCTAGGTCAAGATTCAAACAGCGGTATTATACACTACGATGGAGAAAAAACTGTAACTATCAGAATTAAAAATCTATTTGAATAAGGCGGATGTTTTTGAAATTGACTTCTAATCTGCCAGTCTAGCTCATTACCAAGATGACTTGGATCTCCGCATCAAAAGCACAACAAAGGGGATTCATGACTAGGAAACTATAGCCTCGAATCAAGCTACTTGTGATACTTGTTTCTTTCATGTTCCCAAATACCCTTAACTTCTGCGACCAATCTTTGACCATTGACCGTGAAAAACTTGCCCCTCAACATAACATTGAGTCTCCAATCCACAAAATCAACCAGAAGCTTCTGCTTTCTCAAACTTTCATCTTCTGGTAACTTCCATATTGCCTCCAAACTGCAATCTTCTCCGTTCTGCCATTCAAGAAAGAGAACGTTTACAGTCTCGAAGAAGCGTGCGAACTGGAAGGTCCGCTCTGGATGGCCAAATTTGGCATTGATACTCTCCATTTGAGACGCAATATGTTCCGCGCTGTAATCGTTCAAATCGAACATCTTCTTTGTTGGTACCGGACAAACGTTCTGTGATAGGATCTTCTCGATTCTGGTACTAGTATAAGTTTCCCAGCGAACGACAGGCTCGTAATAACCATATTGAGCGCCAGAGATATCAATAGCAAAGCGCTCTCCTGAACGCAGTATGACTCCAAAAAGCTCGTGGTCCATATTATATGTGGTGTATTTACCCGCGGTAATTGTTCTTCTGGGATTCTTGGGTTCGCATACAATTTTCTTTATTTCCTTGATTGTGCCTATCAATCGTCAGTTACATCTATTTGATAAAATACCAGGTATTAGGTAGCACAGTAGAACGGATGTTTGTTCATACCATTCAACAAACCATGGAAACAAACCACCATCCACGCAACCGCTTCTTTACACGCACGAAAATTGAGGACTTCGAGTCTATCCTTGGGATTTAGAAACAATTGAGAGGACAATGGTTTCCATTCGTGCGCATGCGTATCGTTCTGTTGAGCCACAGATTAGCAATCAGTCAAACACAGTCAGGCATCAAATGATTGACCAAATCAGGGAAGAACCGATCCCACTAACTTACCACAACTTCAAGAATCATCTTTTCCCCATCGATTTTAGCTTCTTTGACATCCATTCCTGCCCATGTAATCTCACGGTATATGTAGAAGATCCTCTGTGCGAGAGACGTAGCAGCATACAACTGCGTGCGAAGTCGAAGCTTTTTGCAAGTTTTCTTATGGTGGTTCCAATCAGCCTGTTGACACAACGTGTTGCAATAACGAGGAACATCTGCATCGCCTTCTAGTGCTGGTGCGACCTTGCAGATGGCGCATACCTTGGGGTATCCGGGTTTTTTGCAGCTCGTACATTGTATCTCTGCGGGCGTATGATCAAAACGCGCATCCATGATGAGGATTGGCTTAATGGTGGCTGGGCAAAGAGTTGAGAGATTTGCGCTTAAATAAAAGGTTATGGTGAGAAATTAATTGTAGCCAGGTCCACAGACTCTTCTGCTTTTGAGTGGATATAACAAAGAATTGTAAATGTACAAATGGTATCAAAGCTACTACAGGCTGTGATACTTTCAAATTATTGAAAGTAGGAATCTTAGTTGAACTTGGAATCAACAAAAGACTCAAATTGATGAGCTATGAATCAAATTGGCGGGTTTTCATTATTTTTTAAAAACAATCTTTGAGTGGAACTTTATTTATTGTGTGAATTAATTATATTAACAATGACTCATTTTGTGCCCAGAGTCAGTAATACTGTTCAGGAATATGCTCAACGACATGCTCAAGGACATGTTAGATACAATAATTGAGCTGATTAGTGCATTCATACTGTCTACCAAGCTTCGTGAATTGATTTTGATAAGTGTCTTGAATTCCATACCTACATGGCTTGATACAGTATTTTTTACACTGAAGAATGGTCAGCTTTATGGGAGCTTTTCCCAATTTGTATTCCAGATTTCCTGAAAATTTGACAGCAGAATTAAACACTATCATTATGTTCTGGTACAATATGCCGAGGACTATATATTGAGGCCACCAGTGGCTTTGATACTTCTCACAAGGTACCTGGGGAGCAAAAGACAGTAAAATCAAGCATATTAATGGGAGAATACTCATAGCTACATAAGATAAACCAATTACAAGATAATCGGCATTTATCATGACAAATTCAACTAATCTGGATTTTGACAAGTCTCAAATGTCACCAAGCAACTAACCTCAGATCTCACATGAAAATTTCTTCGTCAAAACAGACAGCTGATTCGTATCATAGAACTAGCCTCCGTCATAAGACATCTGGAAGTCAATGTATCAGCAAATGTACCCCCGAAAGAAAGATGGACAGATTCTAGGCTCGCTAAAATCCTCCTACTGGCTTGACAGACCAAGAGGTACTCTGCAATTTTTCAACATACCGGTACTCAGTTCTATTACAAGATCTGATGTCGAAGAAATAAGCTCATTGGTCACATGACACAAACTCCAAACTTAATTCCAACATCACTTCACGGAACCTCAGTCTCAAAAACCCATTCTTCAAATGAACCACACCACAATATTCAATTAAAGAACGTTGTTCTAGTTTTGAATGGCCTGCTCCAACAAACATATCACAAAGGGAAACTTCCATGACCTGAACTGCATGATATCAGGGAGATCAATTCAGAACTGCGCCATCCACAGAAGAAATCTTGGCTTACCATCAAACCAATGGTAAAACAACTCTTCATCGTTACCCTTGTGAGTAATTATATCACAGACATAGACATGGGGAGGATATAGGATCGTTATTATATTTAATGTTTGCTCTCAAAGATAAACTGAGGTCTAGTTGACCTCACACAAGTCAACCTTCTTGAAGCTCATCTAGGTCACATGCCTTACGCTGGCTTGCTTTTGAAGCCCAAACTTGAACGATGAAGCAGTTGCATGCTGAGAATGAAAGAGCCAATTACAAAAGTTTCAAAGGCCTTGGGTGATGGCAAAAAACAGTCACATGGAACCCCCCTCTTGTCTTCTTCCAAGCACTTGATTTATATCTCACGAATTTTACATGATGGTTTCAATGAGCAATCAGATAATGTGTTCACCTACTTAGGCAACCAATGGGTTTCATAATGGAGTCTTTCAAAGATGATGAAATTCATGTTTTTTAAAGTTTTTTTCATAGCCCAAAATAGCCGAGAATGATAGGACAACCGACGGGAAGGTCCGAGCTCCCGAATCTCAAATTAGTCATTAGTACAACTCAGGCCTTGCTAGCCTTGCATTATTATCTATTGAAATTCTTGAGGTCGAGAAGATTTTACTGTAGCCTTTACACCAATTACAAGGTCAAATCTCAAGGTCGAAGCTTTAGCATCAATCACGCCGTTATTTCAGTTCTGTATTTTCGCAGATATTGTTTAATAGTACTTCATCATACTCAAATATTTCGCACATGATACTCTTGGATCTTCAATCCCACTGAAAAAGCTACTACGACATCTTAGAAGCATCGATTCCCTAGAGGCCTCCTGCACACCTCGCCTTCACATCTCAACAGCATCAAGTGAACGGCCATACACTGTTGTGTGTTACAACGCTCTTTTGTTTACTAGAATCATCGAGTTGAGTTTAGACAGAGTGGCTACAAGGACGTGATTCAAGTGTAAGTATCCTACATCGCGTCTCTCTCAGTCGATGGAGACCACTACTTATAATTTCCACTTTTAGCATGGATTACAAGGCGACAGCTTTGTCTTCGAAGCGACCCGAACGCCCAAAGAAACGCTCGTTAACTATCGAAGGAATGCCTCCGGAACTGAGGCAAGCGATTTGGCAACTCACACTCAACAATAATCGAATTGTAACGATTCAGGGCCCGATTGATCGCTCTGATGACCTGTGGACCCCTACCACTGCGCAAGATTTCAGCGCGTCCTTTGAAAAGATTGAAGCGCCAGCAGTATCCTTCGAGTCACGCGCAATTGCAAAGAAGGAATACACAATCCGCTTCGAGAATGACATGAAGAACTCGGTCTACTTCAACGGCGAGCGAGATATCTTAAAATTTACCGACACAACATTCATGGAAATCGTTTACCATCAGAGTGGTGATATATGGAAAAATGAAGATACGCATATTGCGGGTGTCCAGCGCATCGTTATCGATATGAGGGATGCCCGAGATATGCTTACGATGACAGGCCGCTCGATTGCATTAATCCTACTACTTCGTGCTACCCAAAAGTTCTATACGCTCAGGCAGATCTTTTTACAGCCGACGTTCCCGGTTGATTCTGCTAGGGAGGAAGAATGGCGTGTATTTTTTGCAGATTTAATGCGGAACCGTGAGAGGGAATATGGTCGATTTGTGGACGGACACTATTGGCAGATCCCTGAAATCGTCTTGGTTTCCCTCGAGGATGATCCAGATCTCTTGAAGGCAGTTCAGCGGTAAGAACTGTTTTCGTGGATGTACAAACCCTGCTAGCATGCAAGGTAGTATTTTATGGAAAAGCTGTATGTTAAGTTGTGTATTTGAGTTTAAGCTGGTGTTTGGGGAGCAATTGAGCCTTTATTTGACAGGACGAAGTCTAGAATGGAATATACATCTGTCTTTTCATCTGCAACATCCGCTGTCTGTCACTAGTCTAAAGGATTTGTGAGAATAGGGGTTTACCAACGCAACTCTTAGCTAAACCTGATCCAAAGTAGCATAACGATTTAATTTTGAATAACTATCCCTCTCGCTTCTCTATTTTGCCATTTGAATCACTACAACTGTCTCTAATTCAAACTGTGAGGCAACTATCATGTAATTAGTACGACCGTAGTGTACTAGCGCGTGGAGCTTGTGCCTCGAGGCTCTTATAGTTTTCACCGCGTCCATGGTAATACCGACACTTATCCTTTAATTCAACATCCTCTACAGTCTTGTCCCCAGCTCCTGGAGCTTCAGATCAACAAGACTATTTCAATACGTCAACTACTCACAGCTCGAGTTCCGATCCGTCAACCTCCCCAGAATCTGACGGCAATGGAATATTCGCCCGTGTTCCTCGCGAACTAGAGGATCAAATATGGTCGCTCGTTCCGACAGGCACAGGTCCCCGCTTGATCGAAATTACAGCTGATCTTACTATGCCACCATGCAGAGACCAAGATGGCCGTTTCGAGTTTGGCGAGAAACAGTTCGAAATTAAAATCATAAACCATGGGAAATCTCTGGCTCGTCGTGACTCGAACTCGTTTCCACCGCCAAGCCCGTCTCAAGATTTAAATTCTAAGGCCTTCAACCTTTCCCACAACCGGTTCAGGTTCGACTATAAGATCAAAAATCCCCAAATCGTCAATATCGCCCAGGATATTTTTTTCTTCGACGGTCTAGACCGTTTAGATGATTATGTTGAAGCGACCAGAGGAATCACCGAATCGGTCACACTGAGCTCGCAGCCTCGATGCTACCCAACGATCCAAAATGCAGTAGTTCGAGTATGTTTAAATATGGGAGGTCCAGAATCAGAATCATATGCCTCATGGCTCAAGAACCTCCGTTCGCAACCCGATTTCCACAAGTCTATCCTGACAACGATTTTACCCGAGCTTTTGCAGCCTATCAGTAGAGTCAAAGGCTTGAAAAGTATATATCTCTTGGTGAACGAGGAGGAGATTCCAGGCGATGGACCTATTGAGCGTATTGATGGTCGGCTGATGGAACTTCTTGTAAGAGATGACAAATTGCGAAGATGCTACGAGGATGACTTTCAGCTACCTGAGGTTCTGTGCCTGACAATGGAGGAATTTACTAGAGAGTTTGGAAGGGTATCTAGAAGACTCTGTGCGGCATAAGTTTGGGCTATCTCCATCAGGATGAGAAAATTTGTTGTGGCATAAATGATTTTGTTCTTCGGGTGCAGCTTTTGTCATATATTATGATAGCGATGCGCAGTTACACGAACTAGTAGTACGTAGTTTCCTGGAGGATAGTGACTAAAACCTGGCATTAAACTGCAAAATTACTATATTTGTTTTCAATCAAGTCGGAGCTTATACATACCAAGGGAAATCAGAATTTGAACCATCTGACCAGCTAAGTGATTTGCTCCAAAATCCAAATGTGCATCGCCATCTAACAGTCAACTCACACCTGTCCTTATTTCTTCTGGCTATATCTCCACATTTCGAAAATCCCCTACAAATGGCTCACCAATACATTTTCCTTACCTTTAGTCCATCTATCATACTAAACCAAGCCAAAGTATCCCATTAGATTTAGAATTTCTTACCAATATCAACTCCCCGAAAACTTATCATTCCTGGTTACCAAGCACCACAATCCTAACCCTCATGGGCCTTCTCGTAGAGCTAGACCTTACTATATGAGAGAATCTGAATGCTGAACTAAGCGCTAAGTTTTCCACACGTCTTTTCTGCACACATGAAACCGCGGCGATGGGTATGGCTAGATGGGCCGCCTATGAGTGGACTAGACATGCAGCATTTGGGATTGAAATTAACAAGTTTCTCGCAATCCCCCTGATTTTAATTCTTGAGCATTTTCTTTTTCTCCGAATCGCATCAACCTGTACTATCAGATCGGAAATTTGGTATTTTATGCCCAGCTTATGACGCTCTTCTTCTCGTGCGGTATTTCCTTCGCAGGAGTACGGCGCAACAATATACCGTCCATTATTGGTTATGTTGTGTCAAGTTAGGCGGCAAACGGGGCTATTACAGAGGTCGAAATAGTGGTTGTTTAGGTTGAACGGCGTGCGAGATTAACCTTGGCATCACTGATGATATATCAAATGATGTGAATGCAATCCCCGACGCATGTATATCACCAGTAGGTGTCGAAACCTTTAGGATAGCCTTGATATAGAAGCTCGAGTCAATATGTGGTTGGAAAGCATTAGGTGAAACGGAAGAAGAGGTGGAACAGACGGATGTTGCTCCCCGCTCTTGGGTGGGAAGTGATGTTCGAGAATTCTTTGAGCGACTTTGACCAAAACAGGAGACGGCGGTAGTTCTGTGTTGATTATGGTTAATGCGCTGGGCTATATGCATGAGAAAGAGACAGTGTAAATTATAGGCCAAAACCAGTATGATACTTTGAACAGAACGAGAAGGGATAATGACTCAATTGATGTGCCGATACCGTTTTTAGAAAGACCCCGGGTATTGAACCTTTGTATGGAGGTTACCATATGTAATCTTCCTTACTTGAACTCTAGCTGGTCAACATGTGTATTTTACGTAACCGTAAGTGAATGACAATTCTCTGGCCACAAATATGCGTTTGGACCATGGAAGAGCAGAATATCACTCGTATCCCTCAATTGGTCTCCATACATACACACACATATATTTACAGCTAAACGTGCTTCCAATCTGCTCTCCATCCTATAACAATACTCGAATACTCCTCACTGAAGATTTGACACCGGAGTTAGCTTCACACGACGCATCAGAACCCTTTTTATCATCCCTCCTTAGATAATCCTCAAAAAATCAATTGACTATGTTAACGATGGCCACGCGCAGTATATTCCCAAGATTTATGAAGCTTCCATCAGAAATGCGGTCTCAGATATGGAAGGAGGCACTTCTTCCTTCTCCCTGCAGATTCATCACAGGTCATCCTGAACTGTACTATCACCGGCCAGACTCTAATAAGAAAGTTGAATATCCGACGTTGTATGATCATACTAAAATGATTGATTGCGAATGACGGTTTCATCGACGACGTTGGTTGGCGTTGCCAGCTTCAACTCCAAAACAAATGTCGAATTCGCATCTATTTCAGTCAACCATGAATCTCGGGAACAGAAGTTCACCATGCGGGTATCCTCTTTGTGGGATGGGGATTGATCTTCGAGTCTACTTGAGCCATCCCAAAGATATATTTTGTTTTCAGGATTGCCGCATCATCGAAGAGTACACATTCCTCCGATCCCAAGGCGGTGATAGCGCGGGCCCCAACATTGTAAGACTCTCCCACTACAAAAACCACAGATATGCGATGCTCAAGCCCGTTGGAGAGTTCGTCGTGAAGTCTATTGAACCAATATACATCGACCGCTTTGATACTGAGTATAGACTTTAGAGTGTTGTCGCACAGATTGCTTCTTTAGTACTCCAGTTGGGGATTTAGAAGAAGCTCTCTTAGGATCACCAGGTGGCGATGACGAACAACAAAAGGTGGTTGTAAGACATTTGTTCGCTGAGCAGATGATTGGATTACCCTTCCATGGAGTAAACTTGCAAGAAGAGAAGTACCCTTGGAGCTCACCGTTAAAAGACCTTCCTGATGAATATCAAGCAACTCAGTGGGAGCATAGTGAGATTAATTGCTAAAACTATGTGTGGGAAGAGGTTCTATATGAATAGAATGAATAGTGACTGCATTAGCGTCATATTCAGCACTTCTCGCCATAAAAATGGCTTCCGATAGACTGGAAAGTACTCTAAACTACTTGTGTTGGATATCCTGCTTGAGATTTCAGAGAGAAATCTGTTTGAGTCAATACAGACTTCACACTACTCCTCTGTGAATCATGCTGTCAGAGGTGCGGCTATCTACACACACAAAAGTATCTTCCAACAGATGTCATTTAGTCATACTTCCAAGCAACAAGCAAACCCAGTCATCAAATCCTCACCACATACACAACACTCAGCAAATAAATTCAACACAATTCCCCACCATCGTTCTTTTCTCTCTCTCTCTCTCTCTCTCAACACACTAAACACCAAACTTCACAACAAAGCTCATACACATACCATCCGTTCACCAAGTCATTATTACATACACAGTACTCAGTAATCACAACCAACAAAACACTACAAGAACATCCCTTTCCCTTTTACAGCACATTAAACGCCAAATCACACAGCAAAACTTCCACATACCACCCGCATACCAAGTCCTCATTTCATTCCCAATACTCAGCAGTTATAATCAACGAAACTCCACAACTGTCCTGTTCTCTTTCACAGCATATTAGACCCCGAAATAAACAACAAAACTACACATACCACCCGCATACCAAGTCCTCATTTCATTTAAAATACTCAACAGTCACAATCAACGAAACTCCACAGCTGTCCTGTTCTTTTCTCATAGTATATTGAACACCGAAATACACAACAAAGTTTACAAGTGCCACTCACTCGCCACACCCGAAAACTAAAGATGCAAAATATCAGTTCTGACGAAATGTCTTCAAGATTTTCGACCATCCTGGCGGAGATGCGACGGAAAATTTGGGAAGAATCACTTCCCCCACCCCGCAGAATTTATATGGTGGACTTCGGCATATTCAATGGAAAATGCCAATGGGTGGCGAAAGAATATTCTGGTAAATCTTCCCATGACACACTCACCCCTTCTATTCTATGGTTGTGCCATGAATCTCGAGACTATTTTATCCGTGAGGCGGGCTATACTATTTTTGGACTCAACATCGACACTCCAATCTATTTGAATCATTCTAAAGACAAATTATGGTTTTGGAACTCGTCTCTCCTGGTACATTATTTATATACTGCCCAGCCTTTAAGATCTGATGCCAGTGCCGGCAGAGAAGCCAGACCGATTGACGAAAGAGCCGGCGGAGGGAAAATAGAAAGAATCGGCATCACCTGCGCCAACTTGTACAAGCAAGCACAAGGATCTAGCTACATGGACGATGGCATTGAAGAAGTACTAGACGCTATATCTTTAGCGGCTAGGAACTTCGTGGGATTGAAAGAAGTTACCTTAGAGATTGCCGAGGAAGACTTTGAGAACCAGAAGTCTCAGTTGGAAAAAGCGTTTACGGCTTATTTCAGCGAACCCGAGAATCAACTTAGGGGTAGACCGGCATTGAGACTTACCTGCATAATGAACGAGCCTGGTATCCATTCCTACAAAAGCGTGAGTGATTCCGGTCATACTCCATATGACCCAATTCCGGTCCCCCACTTGGCACGACGGTAGTGTCCATGACATCCACACAGACAAGTGCCTCACTGTACGGGGTAGTCTTTTAGCATAGTTTCATCTTCCAAATGCATGGCTTTCACAATATTTATGATGTGTCTCATCAACATAACATGATTTGTGATTGTAATTCGCATTCCTATTGTGCAGTGAAGACGTAAAAGAATCTACTAGGGGTTTCAAACTTCCGAGCTACACGTATAGTTTAATGACAAGAGCTCATTAGATCAGCTCGATGGGTTGAATGCTTTTGGTATGGTTGCAGCTGTAGGTACGTTAAACTCAATCTAATTATTAAGGTACGGTACTCCTAAAGATCAGAGCTCTTGATGGACAAAAAGCTTTGAATTCGGACCATAGTCAAGATTATTAAAACTCCTAGTCTGAATGTGTACTTAATCGTTTCGAAATTTGCAATCGACTGCTATCATCTACCACGAAGTAGATATTCACAGCTGGTTCCAGAGATGGTTTGTTCTCAGTACCCTCGCTATCAAAAGTCATTAAGTGTAACATTTTCATATTCGGGTTTGAATCATGCAGAACTCCAAATAGAACCCATCGGTGATACCAGAGAAGTATGTCATAAAAAAATTCCACTACATGAGTATGTTCTCATCAAATTTCAGCCATGAATGCAAGCAGACAAGGAATATTAGCTCTGAAAGGATCGAACTAAGGCTTGATCCCAAGTAACCATCTCAAAGATCGTCAGAATTCCTTCTAAAGTCTCTTGTCCAATAAGTCTAACAATGGTTATCAACAACAAAGGCTACTTGGAAAAACTCCCTCCAGAGCTACAATTGCGAATTTGGAAAGAAACTCTTCCATTTGCCCGTCAGATCGATATGTTTACAACTTCCATTTGAGCCAAAGGCCCCGCGAGACTATCTAAATTTTCTGAGCCAAAATACACAATATCAACTCTGTGAATTTGCTACGAATCTCGACAAGTAGCTCTTTTCCAAGGCTATCGTCTATTTTGGGGCGGCTTGACTAGGCCAGTGTTTATTAATCCCTTCAAATTTCTATGACGAACTTCTGGTCATGGCTCATGGCTACAATATAAGAGCAATGTCAATATCCCATAAGACCCAGAGCCCTGCTATAAACGTGAGTATGCCACAGAGAAAATACCTTCTAGAAATCTCATGAACACTGCGCAGCGCATTATTAAAGAGGAACGCGGGTGCTTCGGAGGCCGGAATCAAAGGTTTACACTCAGAGAGATATGTCTACGACGCCATGAACGGAATTAACAAATTGAGAGGAAAATAAGACAGTGGTATGGAGAATGAATGCTGAGCACTTTTGTATTCTCTGACAATGATGATAATGACGATGCTGTACCTGGGATTCCTAGGCTCACTTTCTCCTATACTGAGTGAAGTTGATGATAATAATGCTAGGGCAGCTCGATATATAATGGGTTCCAGAACGCATATACATGTTGTTTCCCGAGTTTCGCCTCCGTATTCATACCATCAGAGTTTGAGGAGCAGTCTCTTATAGTTGCGCATGGATATAATACAAGTTTTATTGCAGAATGAGTGCTGGTTTTGGAATGCATCCTTCTCTGGAATATCTTTATGCTGAATTTATCGCAATAACTTGTCTGCCAGACTACAACCAAAGAAATTGCATCATATCACTCCCCCATGCTGTCATGCTGTCATGCCGTTATATTCTCCAAGTTGTGGTGTCAATACAAAGGATTTAATATACGACCATTCACTTACTCATTCTCACCAACACTAACTAGTTCTTGGGATAGTATCCCTTGAATACTATCACAAAACCCATATTCCAAAAAAGCCTGTCAATGAGCTTACGCCAAAGAATGAATTCAAGATATAAGCCCCTCCTTCGCGATCAGTCCATGGCATCATATAAGCCCTTGACTCGCCTCCTATAGATCTTCAATCTTTTGAATTGATCATCTCTATTCAATGTTTTCTGCGTTTGATCAGCGAAAAACAAGAAGCCGCCGTCGAGCATCAATGGTATCACCAGCGTATTCCCAGTTATCCGGCAATTTTCTCATCCACGACAGTGTTGCACACCTGTGGGTTTCTCATTCGATTTTTAAGAGGATGGAATGATATTAGTGTTCGTTTAGTCGGTAAGTGGGATTAGATTACAACCCTAGCGAAAAAATATCTCCCCCTTGTCACGTGATCTGGAATGCTTACATGTTCGGATTCTCGCTTCTCCATTTAAGTTTTCTTCTCATGGCTGACCAAATCTTAGTATGGGGAGAAAAATTAATGATTGATTTGTGATGGGTTAATTTGCGAGATATGAGAACAACATGTTATATGATAATGTGATAATATATTGTTGTTTGTTTGACTCGGTGAATGTGAGCTGCTTGAATATCGAGTACCAAGGCATACCATGACATACCGTGACGGAGGGTAATGTGCAAGTGATTTTGGTTATACTGTTTTCATTATACAAAAAATATGTTGATGGAAAAGAAATGAATTCTGTAGTCAGAAGTTCACTCCAGCTATCTTATCTTTTATGTTTGTGACTTTGCTTCAAGGGCATCTTTGAGCGGTCGATTCTGTGTCTGGTCTGTACAACAGGTTTTTTGAGGGAAATAGAAAAGCTATTATCCCGAATTAAAATATTTTTGATAATTTATCAGTGCCCATTACGATTTTTTCCTAGCATTAGGAGTGAAGTCATCATGGGGCTGGTGCCGCTGATACCCAGGAAAGACATGACTTGGCCTAGTAGATGATTCTGGCTATCAGTCTATTTCGGATATTCACTCTCCTATCATTCCGTGGCTACATATGGTGCTTAGAAGACTATTGATACCTCGTAGTTTGGCCTAATCATTCGCGATGATTCACGAAGTTATCTTCCTAGCTTACCAGCTCCACCGACCTTTGAAGGATTATATGGCTTCTAGCAGGAACAAGAGTTAATATATATGAAAGATGTTACTTGCCCGAGCTCCGTTTTCTATGCATGGTTTGATAACCTGGAAGCGAACAGGTTTTATCCATTTCATTATTTCCCTTTTCTCCAAGTGAACACAAGATCCGGTGATATGTTCTCACAGAGTACTGCGTTATTCGAGTCCCATCTGTCTCGCCAATGTATATCAGTCAGTCAAATCCAGTCTAAACATCGATCTCCAATGCTTCCGCGATTGTGATTAATTCCAAACCTTTGTCAAAGGCAGAGTCAAGCACATGTAGGAAAAACGTCCGATTATTGATTAATTGGTCGTTTCCACACATTTGAGAAGGCCACCGGGGTTATATGTGAGTCACAACAATTCTGAGACGTTCCACAGAGTGTCCGAGTTAGGCTCTACGATTTCAAATATTTTAATCACAGTCTATTCAAGTTCTTTAAAAAAAATATCCAATACCTCTCTCTTCCTCGTTCTTTTCACGCTCAACTTTCAGCATCGACCCGAACTCCCCCTTGAATCCCATGACACCTTCAGAATCGACGTTCACGATCACCAACCGAAACAACATTGCTTTCTGTACCAACTTGCGTCAGCAACCGACCGGGCCCTCTTTCGACTTTCTCCCAGTATCCAAAATGGAGGAAGATTTGACTAAACAAGTGCCTTGCGATGACAACTCATCAGACATGCAAATATCCAAGCTTACCTCTGAGGATAAAACCGAAGAAACTCCTCTATAAAATGTCTGCGATGACCAGGACATACAAACATCTAAACCTGCCTCCGAAGATAAACCTGCAGAAACTTCTCTAAAGGATGCCAGCAACGACCAGCACAGAACATTTGCATTTTCCCCCAAGCTTCCACCCGAGCTTCGTATCATTATATGCGAGATGATTCTAGCAGTTATAGCGCCAGCTTTGCCGGAAAGCATACACCTCTATCCAGCTGGTGTGAGAACCAAAGTAAGGGGCATTCACGCGGGCAATATCAGGCAGTGCTATCGCAGTCGCAATATGACTCCGGACCACTATCGGATCCTCGCAATGCTCCAAGTCAATCGAGAATTCCGGGATGTGGTCTCGAAACAGTATGGCGTGTTTAACGGATTAACATCTCGCCCACTCTTACTACGTCCTTCGATAGACTTTCTTGATTTCCGCGATCTGAAGCATTTGAAGGAGTATACGGACAAGGCTTCGTCATCAAGTCGCTTCCGAAATAACGGGGTGAAGGTCAAGCAGTTATCTGTTGGTTTTCATCCTATGTTGGAACAGACCGGGATTCCAATCCTGACAGTGCTTTTCCACAATACCCTCTGAAAGATCCGGCAGAAGAAATATGGAAAGCGATTTTGCTTTTCACCGATCTCGAACGCATAACTTTCTATATCGACGATTTTGATCGTTATCAAGCCATAGAAGAGGAAGACGGTAAGCTCGATGCCTCTGAAACAATCGAATCCATAGAATTCTACAGAAAGCATATGCAATTCAAAAAAGCTTGCATAAAGAGGTTGCACATTCGATTCCGTGAGGATAGATCCGAACAGTATATGCTCTCATCCATCGATACAGAGCACCAACCACGGCTTGTGCGAATGCCAACAATAGAATACATAGACAGAACCAGGTTCATTAAGGCTCATATGGCGAGGAGGGACCCATCGAAATATGGCCCCTCCTCAGGTATGCAAGTTCCGGACTCACGCGTATGTGATGATCATTCGTTTTGGTAATACGCCAGTGTTGTTTTAGATCTTAAGTTACATAAGGCATATTTCATTTTGGGGAGCCATCAAGTAGGGTATCTCGGACGGTCAGGGGATATACTATTGCGTGTATGAAGGGTGCAAGTTCAGATCATATGTGTAGCGCAGTAACACATAAAGCATGTATTAAACGTCAGCATGATGCTCCATAATGAAGATTCGTTGTTTTCCATACAGTAATCCGCCGTGCATTGAAGTCTTGGAGTGAAACAGGCATTTGATTCTTTCGAAGCTGCTGTGTTTGGGCATGGGTGTTCTTCTGGGCCTTTCTTCGTAAGAATTGACTTAGGTTTTTTTTAAAGGCCAGTCCATCGTGTCTTTACCATCTCGAAGTAAAGAATCATGGGATTAGTTGAGGTTTATATGCCAACATATTTTATCTCCCAAAAGAAACCAGATACTCCCAGGTGTAGAAGCCTAGATATCGTGAGAATCAATTCTGGTGTCTGAGAGGAGGTTCATAATGGAATTCTTTGTCCCTTCGTGGCGGCTCTAGTCTGGTCTTGTTCTGGCTGTGATTGTTCTGGATGTATCGAAGTGGGTGTCAATACTTTAGATTGCGATCGAAGTGTTCTTCAACTAGGCCGAGCCTTGTGGTAATTCTTCCAATCTTGATTATGGAGGGGTTTATGCTCCAAGATTTGCGGGCAGCTTTTGAGGTATTGCGAAGTATTACTCGAGTAATTCGATGTTGATGTTCAATTGGCCCAAGAAGTCAGGATCCGAATACCGAATACCTAGTAGCTTGGATGTGGTCTACCCCATTCGTCGATATCGACGGGATGGATGATCATACCCGAATAGGACATCCCATCGGTTGAATGGGACATGTAAACAAAATTCGGAATTTAATATTGATGAATAGGGTTGTTCCATTCCTTTGATTTGAAATTTCAGATATTAACAAATAGAATAATCCCATTTGTTGATATCTATAGATATGCATATACAAAATCACATAAATATTATTTTTCTACAATATTTTCTGGGTATCTAAGTCTATTATAAATTTCGTCTTACCTCCTCTCTTCAAGGACATTCATAAATGCTTCGTCCATGGTGGGTTCTGTGATTGTATAATCCTTCAACAACATTCGCCTACTGTCCGTCCTTTACGCACCCCCGCTAGATCCTTCCGGTCGACCAGACCACTCACCCGATACCTGGCCCATTATACCGCCAGTCTTCAACTCCATCAACCCTTCCATCTTCTGCATGATCTTGCCGAGATTCCTTGTCACATGCCGCAACTCAAAGTTTGCCTCTACGTATCCAATCTTTAGATTTCGCAATGACTCGCCAAATGTCCGCTCCAGAAGAATCCTAATATCGCTCTCCACAGTACCCGACGCGTATTTAGCTCGTACTTGGTAGCTGCCCCCATAACGATTTTGCAATTCGGGGAGAGTGCCAGATGCAAGGGTTTTAGTGCCGATGATGGCAACACGAGAGGCTAGTGCTTGCACTTCTTCCATACTGTGGGTTGTGAGAGAAATCGCTCGGTCTCTGCCAAACGATTCAAGGACCTTCCAAAGAACACGCTTGGCGCCGGCGTCTTGGCCCGTTGAAGGTTCGTCGAGGAGACGAACCTTCGGATTTCCTATTCATGTGATTAGAGATTTGATGTGGTAATTTGTATGTGTACCAACCTAACAGTGCAATGGCAACCATTAACTTTCTACGAGTACCACCACTTAGCTTCGTCACTAGTACGTTGTTGAATTCGGAAATGTTGAAAGCTCTCAAAATGTTATCGACATTCAACTTCACATTCTTCAATCCTTTCATGGCGGCAAAAAAGTCCAGTGTTTGGCGGACTGTGAGTTCGTCGACGGCATCGTCCTGAAACAAATAGTTAGATTTTCCTCATTGACCCATTGGCGGTGCATGACTGACCTGTGGAAAGACTCCCAAATTAGTCCTATCCTCGCACGCTGGGGCTGAGTGATGGCATCAATACCATTGATGTTAATAGATCCGTAATTAGGCTTGATCAGACCACGTATCATACTAATGGTCGTAGTTTTTCCAGCACCATTAGCACCCAAAAATGCTAAAGTCTCGTTGGGACAGATATTAAAGGAAACCTCGTCCACAGCGAATAACTTTACAAAATACTTCGTAAGCTTTTCAACGATAAGAACCGGGAGACTGGCAGATTTGCTATCAAATCCTTTAGCACGAATATCAGCCAGTTCTATATTATCTGGAGACTCAGTGTTGTCAACTCCGACCGTGTAATGAAGTCTCTGTGGGACAGACTTCTTCCAAAATCAGAGTTTCAGTAGCCAAGCAGATGAACCATACTCGGCGACATGGAGAGCGGTGATAGAAAAGCTATTTGAAGGATGAAACTCGCGTAAACCCCACCATAGAGATCAAATATGTATGGAGATTGTACTTCGTCGCCTCCAATGCTACACGTAACACCAAAGTTGTTCTTGGCGATGAAAAATGCTCGAAGGAGGTTTGAAGCTGGATCAAAAATCCCGAAGAAAAGGTGTAGCATGACGTAACCATACTGCTCAAATGGATGGACTCCCGATTGAATGATGATATACTTTACATGGATTAGATGTGGACGGTATCGACTGGTAAAATGCGGAGAACTCACACCGATAAGGTAAACAATTAGTAGCAGCAAATGAATACCAACCCCAATCGCGAAAGCCGCCTTTCGAAGGTAAAGAGACATCACATATACCCCCAAGTAAGTCGATAGGCAGAAGAGGATCATTGCCCCGAGTACTTGTCCTGGTTCAAACCACTTGATCGCATGTGAATCTGTAAATAAGAGACCCCAAGTTACAAAGGAAATTTTGAGCCCAACTAGCATATCGAATATTGTCTAGGCAATCCAAAGAGCGGCAGGCTGTTTCATGTTAGTGAATGGATGAAGACAAATATTGCTAGTCACTCACCGAGACAGAGTTCGAGTATTGTAGGGCCCTGAGATTATTGATCCTCTCAAATGTTGGGTACATTATGCTGATACTGGTACTGCACACGAACCCGATCGTCAAAAGAGTGACCAAAAGGATGTTCATGATATCGCCCTCGCTATTCGAAGGCACATGACGCATATCTCTGTATGCTGTGCTGATCTTCTTGGCTGATCTGGTTGTTGCTGATAAATTTGCGAGTCTGTTGATGGATACTCATACCAGCGATACCTAGCTCACTAGACTGGTGAAGTAAAGTAGCATCCCCTGTTGTTGGTGCAAAAATACCAAATGCAGGCTCCCCATTATCACCCTTCAGAATATCGATTATATCCGATATTGAATCTCCCGTTGCACGACTCGCAAGTGCCTTAGATGCGGTTGATTCGTAGTCACCAAGGCTGAATGTCGAGAAAATGTCTTGCACTTTAGAGGTATAGAGATCATTTTGCGCGGCGCCTTCAAATGCTGCTGCAGGCCCAATAACTGCTGAGACGGTGGAGTATCCCATGCCCTCCAAGTCAAATCCAGAGTCTTCCAAGGGGGCCAGAGCCACATATGGGGTGTCGTTTGCCGACTCACCAGCGGTTGCATTACGCATGTTGACCCTAAAGGTTTCACATGAACCAAAGTCGTCGAAATTTCAAACTGAGTCAACCAAGGCCCCGGCAATGACAATAGGAACGAAGAGTGCGATACACAGTGATATCCATTTATGACGCAGCAGGATATATCTTTTCTTGAAAAGAACCATGCTCTGGGGTCAAATTAGCATGGATCTTGGCTGTTATAGTGTGTGTTTATGTGATGTCCTACCTTGTCGTGATGTATTTACCATTACGCCTACCTCTAATGTTATCTCTCCTGATTGATCTGATGCAAGCAGTTGTATAGTTGCTGCCATGTGCTACCTTTAGTGCTGTGGATGAGCCAGAGCAAACGAGGCCACCTTTGTAGATGATCGAGATGTTGTCTGCGAGGAAATCGGCATAAAAGATTTAGTGGCCAATTTCAATGTGAAAAACTAAGATGCTTACTTCATCGAGTAAATGTGTTGTCATAAGAATAGTTCGACGGGATGTTCCTTGGGAAATGATATTCCAGATATTTCGCCTCGATAAAGGATCCTAACTTGTTAGCCTATAATCCAGAAAATGCTGTGCGACAGTACCAAACCACTCCAGACCGCATCAATGAAGCACAACTGAGATCCCCCAATGAAAGCAATTGCAAGCTGCAATATTCTTTGCATTCCTCCACTAAGGTTAATTGCCGCTGCATCTGCCTTCTCTAATATGTCGCATTCGGTCAAGATATCGTTGACCTCGTAGCTTGCGTCCAATCCTGGCACTTTGATCTTTCGCCAAATACTGATATGTTCACGAATAGTCACGTTCTCCCAGAAAACCTGCGGACGTTAGACATATGGTGTAAAACTCGATTCCGCCCCCGTCGAAAATCTCTCAGGGGGGTCACCGGGGATCTCCCTCCACTTAACAGCCGTCCTCGTTGGAGGACTTGAGGGCTCTAGTAAGGGGTAGAGCCCCCTGCATTCTTTAATTCCTAGAATCATCGTTGAACAGAGCTTCGATCTATTTAAGGAACTAAAACCCCAGGGTAGTCTCTGGGGTCGTACTGGCAGACAGATCGGAATTTTCAGTATCCAAGCGTAGTTGAACAATGAAACTAGAATAAAATGTTGGTAGCCATCTCAGAGACATCCCACAAGCTTAGCGGTGAATGGCAGAAAAAATCTCAAGGCAGCGCAGATATAACACTCCATTCCGGCCTAAAATATTACGCTGTTGAAAATTTGCATTTAGGGTGTCTGCTCATTATCAGAATCTATACCAAAGATATCTTTCCAGCCAATTAGCGATACTTTTGGCTCTCTGCGTCTGTAAGTGCACCAAGCATTGAGATCTGAGGCTTTTGAGCCTCAAATATTGATCTAGACCTAGCAAGTCTTTCAGGAACGACCGTGAGCAGCATCGGTCGAAAGCTGAGAACCACTCAACCCAGACCTCGCGTAAATTCCAGAGATGGATGAACTCTCTCTCAAACCTTCGCCTCAATAGCAAGTCCGACTCGCCTACTCTATCTGCCCCTGCTACTATACTGCATGTCAGAGACTTCGCCATGATTATCTTTTAGTTTCGGGCTACTGAACTCAGCTCGTTCATTTCGACCAATCTGCCAAGAAGGTCAAGGATATTATTTGGGCTTTCATATCACCAGGGCTGCGCGTTGTCCGAATCAAACTTGATTCTCGAGGATTAAGCTGCAACTACGTCGACAAAAAGCCTCGATCAAGTTGAATTTATGAGCTCCAACGCAAGGATGACAATGGGGTCCCGCCTTTAATCATTAATTTCAAAAGCTTTACATCCACTTGTTTATAGGCTTTAGTGGGATCTATTGTGGCATCTTCGTTCTGGTTTTGAAATTCTGCAGGAGCTACATTACTGTCCCGTACGAGATATCATTCGCCATACACAAAAGGTATTTATTTCCTTGAGCATCAAGTATAATCTCATTCTTTGTGCTCTACCCAATAATGGCCCAACGTCAACATCGTTTCCAACAAAATTCCACGTCTTCCAATTCAGTAAATTGAAACACCCCTCAGGAACGAAATCAAAAGGAATCTTGTCCACTTTTCCCCACAATCTTTTCACTTTTCTTGTCAAAGCAACGAAATGTTGGTGCTCCGGCCCAGCTTCCTCTGTATTGACATACCATCCCCTCTGAAAGGTATAGATTGCTTGACAATCGTCTCCCTCTCCGGGGTCACTCAATAAGTTCTAAATGTGTTTTTGTCGGGAAACGCAAGGAATGCTTTCGGGATGAAGGATTTTGTAATTTTTCTACTTCGCAATTGAGTCCAACCCCCAGCTTTCTGATCATGGTTTTCGTCATCTTGTCTTTCTTTGGCGCAAGCTCTGATTCTCATTTGAGGTTAGGCGCGGTAATCGTGGGTCACAGGTATAATTTAGGGATGCGAAGCGTAACTGATAGCGAATAAATGTTTATTTCATGTGGTAGCCAAAAGTCAACACCGCTGATTTCTGCGGTATCTTTCACTCGATCAAGCCGTTCCATAGTAGTGGCTTGACTGCCAATGAAAGATTGGTCTGATTATAAATTGAGGCTGGTGGTTGGGGTGAAGTCTAAACAATAGTTTCTTATTGACAACCAACTTCGGCATTCGTACGAGTGCTTGCTAGAAACTGTGAAAGCCTAATTATCAATTCTTTGGCAGTTGATACGAACAAATACCTCTTGGAACCCATATTTATCGACAGGAACTTATAAAATCTTTCTGTGCCATGTCGCAGAATCTTTGTGTAGAGAGCTGGGGTCTCGTGTAGATGACAAGAGCTTCTGGCGGCAATCGTTTCTTTTGTTCTCAAGGATAGCTGCATTAGTATTCGGGAAGTATTCGTCGTTCCATGGAGCCAACTTGCAATGCAGAGAGTTGAATTCAATTGAATTATCCGATACTGCAGTTTTACGACCCAGCATGGATGTTTCCAGGCTTTGAGGTAGCAAGTGACTCATAGCATGTGGCTTATAGCATATATGTTGAATTAATGTTTCTTGACGAAAGCCTCTTCGACCAGAAAAGACCGCATAGCCGCTTTCATTGCTTCTATTCCAGACTAGTGTTGTCGCGTTAGATATCATAATTCAAGAAATTCCCAAGACGCTGACATTCCAGATATTCCCAAGCGTATTGCAACTTCCAAGTGTTAGGTACACCTACATTGACTACAGTGCCGACTGGCTGTTTAGATGACACCAACATGTCGCAAATGCCGTCAGCCAGAAAGTCTTATGGATATATTTGTTCTCCTGGTGAAGAGTTCTCGAGACGAAATTGTTTGCCAAATCTTGATTGAATAAAGATTTCAGTCTAATTAAATGAATTGCAATTTTTCTAAAGCTTACGTTCCTTGATATGCCATCGCCATCTTGCGGTGCACTGGGTAGGAAGGCGTCTTCCTCTCAGAAGGGACTGTTATTGGGTCGAGACATTTCCGCCGTTTCCGATTGCTGACACCACATATCAGTGAGTTCTAAAATATAGAGATCCAAGCTGGACGGCGTTCCGGATGTTCAAAAATTGCATTTTACCGAGATGCTCGTTATACATTGCGATATTCGCAACTCTCTTTATTCTCCTACTGCTTGCAGACCAGCGTTTTAGCTGAGCGCAAAGTTCCCTTCGATGAGTCATCCCTCTTACGCCGGTGGAATTTTGTTGGAACAGCTGCCTAGTAGAGCCTTTTGGTTCACTTTCCCTTTTGTTTGGATGGATGGAGCCCTTCCTGGGAGTGTTGATGCCCTTCATCTGCGAGCAATGGCCTCCTGGTAATTATCCAACTGTTGAACAAAGGTCCTTACAGCCCTCGCCGGCGTCAAGCACGGTGATCCAGCATTCAGTAGGAGTTAGCTTATTTTCTAATGTTTAGATTTGATGACTAGCTGGAACCATCGATCCAGTATATTCAGAGAATGATAGCGGGCCAAAGCTTAAGATGCTTATGTGTGCTACAGGCACGCAGCTAGTGAATAGCCGTCCTACAGTCGGCCATATTATCAAAAATGACTGTCGATGGCGGTGGTGTGACCTCACCATGTTCTTCTTTCGCCATGTTGCTTGTAGAAGTATGGCAGCCTAGCGCTCTTTGGTGAATCCAGTATAGATAATTCTAGTGAATTGTTGTGTTTGCGGTGAAATCCGCAAGTTACAATGATTGGGGTCGCTGGTTGGTCGTAACAATGGTTTCGATGAGATATGTACCAGTAGTTCCGCTCATCGAGAACAATTTGATTATGTGCGAATCGTCGCTCTTTCAACCATGCCTTCCACGATTTTCCATCAATGGTAGATTCAAGACTCAGTGCGGATGCTCTCGCTCCTGAAATTAATGAAATCCTTATTCCATGACCTCTTGCGCCATCTTGATCTTCGCCCGTCCCTTCTGAAGTTCTTCACCGTTATTTTGACCAAAATTTGTAAGATCTGTGTAGAAAACCGTCAATTAAATTGTTAAAGTATGTAAACAGCAGTCTAGGAAAGCGATCTAACGTGTTCAGTATGAGATACAAGACTTTTTCCCACGATATTTTTGAGCGAGAGAAAGATAAATGATGATTCAATTAGATTGCGAGTATAGAGGGACGGAGAAGCGGTTTCGAGGGTATCTAGGATTCTTCTAGCATGTGTGTTCAAATGAAGCAGATCAATAGTAGCTTCCAAATCTGGAGCAATCATGGTTAGAGTATCCTTGTTCTGAAAGTTCGTGGTAGACCAAGAGAATTGTTTGTTTGTTGAAATTTATACTCGTATATGGTTCTAAGTGATAGGCGTGTACGATGTTTCTTTTGCACTCTGACAAAGTTATCAATAGTTAAGCCAATGAAACCTTGAGAATAGAAAGGGAAATTCTTTTTGTACTGCTGTGCAGTTGCCGTAATTCCCAACTGTTTGCTAATGTATTGGTTTTGACTCTTCAAGTTTGTTTGACCAATTGGGTTGCACCTCAGTTAATTTCTCGCTTCGGAGGGGTAGGAAACATATCCGAACTAGACCACTCTGAACAATGTTAAACTAAATTAAATAGTCTATTAAGTAGCTTTAAATGTGATAAACCTTCTTGTGCGGTGGTCTTCGATTGGTTGAGTAGAAGATTCATTCAATTAGGACTAGCATTAATCAAGTTCCTTGAGCCTTTTGCATCTTGCTTCTTCCACTTTATCTTCCATCCTCAACCACAACATTTTTTAGAGGCCAAGGTGGCCTTCTAAGACCCTCTTTAATTTATTTTGGGGTAAGGTATCAACTACAACTAAATGTAGCTTGTTCACGTTCCAGAGCTCATCAGCCTTCAAAGTCATCAACATCTTCTTTCTCTTCCAATTTCAGATCAACCGCACTCAATCTCTGATTCGGAAACTGAATCCTCTGCTATTAGAGACTTTTCTCTCCAGTCGAAGGTCTTTAGCCTGAGAGCAGCAAGTTTCCATGGATGATTCAATCAACTCTCGGAGGAAAATTAATTACGGTTGTATATTATTGGCAGACATTCTTCTTTGTGAGCATAGCAAAGAGCTTACCAATTACCTACTTAGGACTTGAGCACTTCGATGGCTCTTAGCATGCTTCTTCCCGCAATGAGCCGAACTACGTTTCAAGTAGTAACTCGACCTACAACTTCGAAATACAAGCTCCCCTTTCCTATAGCCTTCCTTTCGCACATTGATATCAACTCTTATCCAATAACGAGATTTAAGGAACCTGTTGTTTCTGCACCCCAACTCAACATTCTCTCCAAATCTGGCGGAAAATTTTACCAAACACAAACTGCAATGCCAACACTACTGGTGATCTCTTTCAAGAAGTTCAACGAGCAAGTTCCCGAGTTATAATCAAGATCCCCAATATCGCGGGCAGAGAAGTTCTCCGGTTGGTATAGATTACATGCAAAGGGATTTTCAAAGAACAGCCACCAGCAATACTCGAAGATGGTTATTTCTTTGAAGGTCTACGTTATGCGCCCAAAACTACACAGCCTATGTATTTCAATCCTTTGATCGATGTTATCACCTTAGCGGTTTTAATCGAGATGAAGCATTGTTCGGCCTCCACATTTCCGGTTACAATATAAACGATAACAGCGCGGAAAATGATAAATGGATTGACACCGGAATAGTCATGTCATTTACAATGCAGCCAAAGAGCCAACGTCTTCCTGCAGTCTATCCGCAAATTTTCAGAGTATAAACTTATACATGGCCTAGCCCTACCTGCAACGGAGACGGAGTAACTTGCTTGGATTTCGTATTGCTTGATGATCTTTTCAGGGAGGTTTAAGCCCTTTACCATAGTCTCGTCTTCTTATTACAAATTTAAAAGCTTTAAAACCCTTTGGGTCCCGAAGCTCAACATGGATGGGTTCACTGGCTTCGGAACGCCCTACCAAACTTCTGCATTCTGTTCTCGCTCCATCATCTTACGAGAAGGGAATAGACATTTCGTATCGAATCTAGCACGGCAGATACCAATCAGGTTGATGGTGCGCCTCTCGCTGTTAACCACCATCACTTCGCCATCACCATCTCACTCTCCTCTCCAATTATAGTCCTGATGTTACCTCACTACTCTCAGTGGCTTTCTTCGACAATCAAGTCAGCGAGGAACGAGATGAGGTCCCCGGCATTTTCTTTTCAAGGTAAGTCATGAAATTTACTGTTACACCAACTCAATTACCAATTTCCACCTCCACTGATTTTCCTAAACATTTTCGGCTTAAGAGTTACGTCAGCTTCGGACAATGTGCTATTCCTGCCCGCACATTCACCCACTTCTGGCTTGATGGCTAAACTGGCTTCGAGTAATCTATGCTTTTCACCTGTACTTCCATCCAGCTGCAGAGCTGCGAGGGTCGCCGTCGCTAAGTACTGTCCCACTTCCTTCCATCAATATCGCCAACCTCTCTATAACTTCGACAAACAAAAGATCGACGAGAGCAAGAGGGAACTGGTGGGACTCTCAACACCACCAGGCTCTCCCCTTGAAGCCAAAATTCATATCCCCTTTTGACTCTTCATTGTTTGTCCGACCTTTTCAATCACAATTTATTTGGTCCTTCCAGCCTCTGAACTTCATCGTTTGTCCCGGACATCGCATGCGGTTGCAAGACCAACCTATCTAGATTTAAGGCCAGGGATGGAGGATGGACCCGAGAACACACCGATTTAATACTTCATATAATTTGGGAATTCCATGTGACAAGGTATGACGGATGAAAATGGACGGGCGGATGGAATTGTATTTTTTCTCTTTACTTCTAGCTTCCTATACTATCATAGATCGAGATAAATTAGTTGATGAATCTCCTGCTAGTCTCTACACCCCTCTAACTAGGCTGCGCAACGGGTACCCACGGGTAGCGGAGTATTTCTGCGCAGCCTGCCTCTAACAGATCTCCATAAACTATTCCTTACTCGAGTACTTGTGTAACCCTCCAAACATAACAGCAGCCGCTTATCTATCTTGCGTTTGTAACACAAAGTAGTCATTATAGAAACCCCGCCTATACCTTGAACAAAATCTTGTCACACACGGGGCTGATATGTCATAGTCCGCTGCATGGTAATGTATGCATGCAGAAGGCTGAAGAATTAGGCTGAGAATACCCTTGGGGCGGTGCACACGGATGGCTACATTGCATCCGATGCACTGGATATGCATATGTAGCTATTCGCTAGACTATGGTCAGGCTGTCAGGCTATCTAAGACTAAGAGAGTAAACGTTTAAGTTCGATGAAGGAATTGGATGATAGGTCATCATTAATGATATCTGATTCCGGTATATTTTTCCAATGATAATTGAACAACCCTGCCTATAGCTATGTGTGAATGTGTTTGACAACTATATAGATATTCTTCAATGATATCCAAGTATACTAGTATATTCCTTCACAACCAAAACATCCAGCGTACAGGAAGACGAAATTCTACCGGTAAATTAGGCCATTATTTCTCCAAGTTCCCCAAGTTTCTCATTTTCCAAACTTCAAGACCGCTCATCTCAGTACTTCCAACACCTCCAAGCAATTCCACTGTCCTTCACACATATGCAGAGCCCACCCTAATGTGACTCCACTCTTTTCGGTATCCACTCTTCTCGGTATTAATAACAAGTATATTCAGGATCGTCAAAAATTCATTGTAGACGGGACTCGATAAGATTGAAGGATTGAGGAAAAGAAATAGAATATGAGTATCTAATATCCAAATCACTATAACGTGCTTCTACTACAATGTACTAGCCGATTCAAGAAGGTCAATAGACAAAAGTAGAATTTACTTGGTAATGTCTAATAAAGCGACAGAGCTTATTCTAGAATAAAGAAAGAGCCTCGAAAACAAGACGCTACATCAACCATAAGCGCTAAACGAGATCCAAAAAGGGGCAGACTACCCAAACAAAGATCAGCTTCCATACTCTGCTCTCAGAATCCAGCATCATCCCCGAAAGAATATTCACGAGTGCAAGAAAGCACTCGATGGAGATAATTGCAAGTAGAACTTATTGTATTCTCGGAGAGCTGAAACGAATAGGGTAGAGACTGAGACTGGGTAGAGAGTCCTCTTTATCAGGATGAAATCTTGCAGAGTACTCGAGGATTACCAAGTCATTAGAGATGAAGTAGTAGGGTGGGGACACTAATGTCAAAGTAGAAATGAGCCCGTATGATGTTAGAAATGATTGTTAGTAAAGCGAACAGCCCCAATTTAGCTTTTCACATGAAGACTTGCACCAGTCATGAGTCCAAAATCCATGGATAAGTTCAGTCTAACGGCCTATGATAACGATTCTTTCTATGCAACAATGAGACTGAGTTTCGATATAGTGTAATTAGAAGAAAAGAATGGGCTAAGACAGTATCTTCAAGCATCATCAAGCTGTTGGTGGGCGGGCGGCAAATAGCTTTGCTTGCGAAACGGCTCACCTAGATAATACAACACACGGAGCTTATTTCATGGATAACTGTTGCTCAATACCTCACCACATTGATGATTGTCACAGTAGGACAATATCTCGTAGTGTGTCATATGGCGATTGTCAGAAGTCTGCTGCACGGCGTTTTCATTTAGTCCATACCAGCTCTTCAATCCTCATAATCGCCACATCCAATCCATCCTCCTAAACCACAGCAAACCCCTCCAAACACCCAGCTCCCCCATATCAACAAAGATATCCTCCCAAACCCTCGCAAACCCTCATAAACGCACCACTTCAACAGCTTCAAATCACACTAGCATCCTCTCACCCATCTCTACCTCCCTGTCTCCCTACACCTCTATCTCAACCTATCCTACCACTTCCTCACATTGGACATCTTCATACTCGCAATCGCCACAGCTATATTCTTCACCTACTCTACACGACATTCTCATTCTCATTCTCATGGATATCAATCACATGGGCGAAATCTCTCCATTTTTCATCGATCGATTTTGCTAGTTTTGGCTCTTGAAGATATGGTTGCGTTTCATCCTATCCTGTCGAGTTTGTGCTTTGTATATTCACCTCGAGTATTAGTTTCTGGGTAGCATTAAGTTGGGCATTGAATCAAATCATATCGAGAGATGGAAGGTTGGGAGGCATCTCCAATAACTGGAGAATGGAAGGAACGTGATTTGTTGGGTTTAAAAACGTTTTGGAAGCTAGTCTTGTGGAAAGAAAAACAAGTGAGAACCCTCAATTTTCGACTGAGGAAGGTGGTTTTAGGGTAAATTTTCAATGCAGAATGAGGAACACTGGGAGATTGGTCTGATTTGCAGGCGATATATTAAGAGTTGGTTCGAATAATTTGCATCACTATTTCAGTGTGCATTGCCGTTTTCCCCGATGTTTCTTTTTGGGTATCCCATATGTCGAAAACTTCAGAATGTAGCTGGCATTCATACAAAACCGAAGATGTCTTCCTGGTTCTCATCATCCAATCATTATATATGAGTGGAAAGATAATGTGTATTATTCATTAGATAGAGGTGGCATGCCGTTATTCCTCAGAGAAATCTCAAGGCCGTCCCACCTACCAGCCCTCATAGGGTCAAGCTTTCTCAATTCCAGAAGCCAAGCCTTGCAATCTTGTACCTCATCACATTCGGGCAAACGCTCTTCCATTTCACATACAGCTAGTGTGTACTCAAATAAAGCATCATAAACCCACTTACAGTCCTCACCTCCTTCAAGAAAATCCCTCAGATTGATAAGTTGCTGCTTAATATATTCGATACGTTCTTCTCGAGAGAAGTTTGGGGTTATGGTTGCATGACCCACAGATTCGGTAAGAGTTGACATAAGAAATTGATGATAGAACCAAACGGATTGGTCATATGGATATGCATCACTCCACATAGTTTTAGTAACGAATTCAAATTCTAAGAAAATGTCAGCATGAGTTGCAACGCGATAACTCGAGCCCGACTTACCATCATCTAAAAACTGCCGTCTCTCGGTCGAGGTGGCCTGCCGTTCGTTGAGCAATCTCGGTATTAATTTACTTCGGTTGTGCCACGCCGAGAAGTTTTTCAACTCCGCATTGATCATTCTTGTAGTGTATGAAAATTCCGATTCAACCATGCTTGAACCATTTAATTTGGGATCCTCCAGTTGAGAAACCACGGTACGTCGATACCCCCAACCATGGAAATTCCGACTATCTTTTGCCAACATCTTCCCCACCAAGATGAGTTCGCGCTGCCACAATCCTCTCGCAATATCGGCAGTCATACGGTCATTGGCTTGCTTCAACAGCCACAATCGATAGTTCCATATCCAATAACATTTCGGCCAGCCCAACATCAACGGAAATATAAAATTCAAGTCTGCTTTTATCAAATCAAGAATTGTAGAATTCTTCCCAGGAGTCTGGGGGTGCGGGTCGGCCTGGGTCGTGTTCAAGGCCTCGGAAGAAGCAGAGGTAGAGGAGGATGAGATTACGCCAGACGTCAAGCTCTCGGATGGCCCAGAAGAAGGCAATAGGGGCTCCGATTCCGATGACGATTCCGATGATTTCGAGAACAATCCATAGATTAGCAAACGTCTGCGGATGTTCCATATCGTATAGTATTCTGGATTTTTCGACAGCAGTTTGGATGTAAGTTCGAGTACCTCAGCAGTATATTGACGCTTTGCAATCTTTATTAAGAATTAGAAACGCTATGCCATCTATCGACTAAATGTTGAGTTACCTTTAGGTCGATCAGCTCTATTAAAGCTTTGTATTCTTCAATGTCCTTGCGTTCCTTTTTCTGGACTGCTATTGATTTTTGTTCAGTCGTCGCAATCCGTGGCATACCATGCTATACATTTGATCAGTCCCAAGTTACTACGAAGTCTTAAGAGACATACGCTTGCCATCTTGGAAACCTCTCCTTTGTTGTTTGGAGCTGACGAAATGTTCTGTATATGTATAACAACTGGTCGGCGGGGTGGCTGGTTGGTTGGTTGGCTGGGTTGGGCTGGGCAGATTGGAAGGGGTTGTATTGTAATGATTGTAAGGTGCGACTCATTAATTCGGCAAGCGGGGTCGGAGCTTTGTCATGTAAACTCCGACCTTCCGCTACAGCTTAACTTTTTGGTACGTACTTGCTTAAGCTTGTTGGTACTTGCTTCGACAACAACAACATCAACATCTTTACTATATCTAGACCTCTTATCTACCCTTTTCCTATTTCTCCCTCCTCTCTTCATACGTCCACCATCCGGGACCAGAAGGAATATCATCATTCTTACAGTATTACTAACTTCAGCAGTGCAGCAGTGCATCAGTACGTTACCGGTAATGCATAACTGTTTCTTGTGGTAGTTTTATTTGCTCCCATCGCCTTACCATACCATACCATACCATACATAGGCTTCGCCGGTGCCCTATCCGGTTGACATTCTTTGGCCATTGACAAGAAAAGCCGTAGGATATCTTCGAGGAAATCCTTTCCTGGACTCACGGATCCACTACTTATTCCTCCTTTTTCTTCCAGTACATCATCTTGTTGTTTAGTTTTTCTATTTTTGTCATTCCTTTCATGAGAGATTGTCGATAAGCCGCTATTCCTTCGCATCTTATCGTCGGCCTGCTCGATTATCACTCTTTATAGCGTTGCTATGTCTTATTTTTTCGCTGGAAATTGGATCAATGACTCTTCCGGGACCTTTCACTCTCCACCTGACTCAGGTTATGACAGTTCATCCCCCGAACGAAGATCAAGCATACTCAGCGGTAAGCGTAATGTATCCGTTTCGATATATGGCATTGTCCTAAGTATGTGCAGATACCGATACAACTTATGAGCCTTCAACTAAACAGGTTCGAGATGAAAATGGAAAGGAATGGAAAACGAGTCTTTCGATACGGATCAAAGATGTGATCAATGGAGTTTCTGTGGATCACAAGCTATCAACGATTGCACCAAATAGCCTTCGATTCGATGGGACATCAGATAGCCCTAGAACTCCACTTACGTCGTCGTCGTCGACACTACCTCGACCCAATGTCAAACCTAGGCCAACCCTCTCAAACACACGAGCTCGAACATCTATTGATTCGTCCCCGACTAGAAAGTCCACTAGCTCTTTGCATTCCCCCGATCGATTTCTGCCCATTCTGAAAAGTCCAGACTCCTCGGCACAGAGCTTTCGTGCTAACAAAGATCCGGGAACTCTTTCAGCGTATGAAAAGTTAATGAGACACAGCAGTGCAAGCCTTGATGCGTTTAATCCGCGTCGACGCGCAACATCACCGATTCCTCTTGCTTCTCGGCCAGATGCAAGACGAATCGTCTCTGGGAATCGTGGCAGAGGTATTAGATATCTTCAAGGCAATAATCAATCCCTTCGCTGATAATAATATAGGTGCTACTGCCCTTGCCTTTCAAAGGGGTGCCCCAACAACACTCAATGGAGAGAGGCAGGTATGTACAACCCTGATAAATAGTGGTAGAGGAGCCGAAGGATGCGAATTTTACAATTGCAACCTTTTCTCTCCGTACTGATCACCACAGGTCAGTGTAGGAACCGTATGGGCTGTCGGCGGAGTGGCTCCTGTAAGCGCTGGCATCCCGGATGGCCGTGGTGGTCTGTTAGGTAGTGGAACGAATGCGCCGTTGTATACTACATCCTTCTCCGCCTCACGTCCAAAAGCACAAGAAGATTTCGAAAAGCATGAAGACAGGTTGGCACAAGCATTGGACATTGACCGCATACAACGTGTTTTTGAATTTCGCGATCCATCATCTACGCCGCCCACAACTCCCCCTGATTTCAAGTCCAAGAGACATACATTTGACACTAAGACGGCTTGGAATGGAACAGAGTGGGTGCTAGGTGGACCGGAACAAAGTTAGTGGTTTTGCTTCATCCTATCTAAATTATGAGAATTTGTATCCTGATCATCGTGCAGAGCAACAATTACCACAAGAACCACGCACACTTCCCGTTGCGCCTTTCAAATAAGTCTCACCTGTGTTGTTATATTGACTTTGCTGACATTCAGCACAGTTCTCGATGCACCAAATCTACGAGACGACTTTTATTGCTCGGTTCTGGCATACTCTGGAACAAGTCACACACTTGCCGTTGGTTTGGGCTCATTGCTTTATGCATGGTCTGAGATGGCTGGAGTCCATTTACTTCATGGTGGAACTTCAAATGCTTCTTGGTTGACATCTCTGTCATTCTCGTCCACGCAAGGAGCCAAATCAATACTTGCATTTGGCAGGTCCGATGGATCGCTCAGTCTCTTGTCGCTCTACGACAGCTTATTGCCCCGATTTGAAGTCCAACAGCCATGTCCTATAGCTTGCGTCGCTTGGAGACCTTCAATTACAATGCGACCTTCCCGAAATCCACTCTCATCTGGTATTATGGTTAAGACGGAAGATCTGATCGTTGGAGATGAGCAAGGAAACGTATACTACTATGCCGTTGAATGGCCAGATGCATGGGAAGTGACTCGCGATGGCTGGTCTGGCTCTATGGCACTTATTGCCCGAATCTCTATCCATACCCAACAAATATGTGGACTCTCTTTTTCCACTGATGGCTCTTCATTTGCAACTGGAGGCAACGATAATCTTTGTTGTCTCTTCCGTACAAACGAAGTTACTCGTCCTTCCCGTGGCCAGCTTGGCACCGCAGAAGAAGTGTTCCTTGCCACAGCAGGAATGCGTCGCATACACAGCGTAGCCGGTCAGAACCGCGTCAAAGAAATTACCGCCGGTGCTGAAAAACATCGTTGGGTTCATGGTGCTGCTGTTAAGGCAATTGCGTTTTGTCCCTGGAGAGATGGTCTCATCGCAACCGGCGGGGGAAGTAATGATAAATGCATCCATTTCTTCCACACCTCATCCGGAGCCTGCCTCGCCACCATCAGCGTAGCAGCTCAAGTAACCTCCCTCATCTGGTCCACTACCCGTCGAGAAATTGCCGCTACATTCGGCTACGCACAGCCGGAGCATCCATACCGAATCGCAGTTTTCAGTTGGCCGGATTGTAAACAAGTGGCTGCTATTCCATGGGAAGGCGAACATAGAGCATTATTTGCAATACCGTATCCAGGAGGTCCGAACGAGAGTCATAGCAGTAGGGAAGGTGGAAGAGCCATGACGAGGACGGCACAAGAGGGATGTTTGGTGGTGGCGAGTAGTGATGAGAGTGTTAAGTTTCATGAGGTCTGGACGAGTAGTATGAAGGCTACTAGTGGTGGTGAAGGATTACTTGGGGGAAGTGACATTTTGGAAGGATTGGAGGGGATTGATAAGGAGGGGGCTGTTATCAGATGAATTTCTGCTTTGGTGTTTTGGTGTGACAGTCACGAGGCTGAGGCTGAGGCTGAGGCTGAGATCGTACGGCGCAATGGTGCAAAGCTGGTGTAAAGGTTTCAACGGAAAAATTGTGTCTGTGTCTGTATAGAGGAAATTGAATCAAGAAAGGGAAAGGCACTGGCATACTGGCATATTGGCATACTGAATGGGATGGAATGGAACAAAATGGAACCGTCACTACAATAGATGACTAAGGGAATGCATAGAGGGATGGTACCCTTCCTCACTAATTGTCTCTTTGCCCAAACAAAGGTTGGAGATGGAGATGAAAAAGAAAAAAACAATTTGCTCATTCGTTGCATTGTATTGCATTGAAACTAAAACTCAAAACTCAAACCTAAAAGGCTAAAACTCAAACATAAAACTCAAAACTCAAAACTAAAACATGAGTATTTGTTATCTCTACTCTACTACTCTACATTTACACCTCTTCGCACTCTTCCGATCATTTCACAGTGTTCATTCCGGTTTGTTCTTGTTCCGATCAATTTCTAATGTTCATTCCTGTTCTTGATCCGGTTTCTTCTTATTTTCTTATTATATATCTATATTCACATTCACATTCACATTCACATTCACATCAACACTAACTTTTCAAATCTCATTTTTAAAATGTTTTTTTTTCTTCAATATTTTTAATATTATCTATCTCATTGCACCAGTGTGCATACTATCCACTATCCACTATATGTAACACATTTGATTTGTGAAAAGCCTCCAAACCAATGGAATATTCTCCGTATGTTATTGTGCTGTGCTATGCTATGCTGTTATGCGGCTTTCCCTAACAGATGTATGTACCTAAGTACCATCCCATCCCACTGCGCTGTAGAGCAAGCTCAAAAATCGACCTCTCAATCCCCAATCCTGGAATACGTAGTGCTTAGCAGCAGGCAAAAAAGCAATCCCTGTTCATTTGGCTAAGCCAATGATCTGAATGCTAAACGCCAAAACACCTTGCTCACGTGGCAAAAAAATCGATGGGTGGTATCTCTCGAAAAGAAAGAAAACGAAAACGGACCATAAAGAAAAAAAAGTAAATTTCGAAAGGAAAGTAATGGGTATTGGTGGTGATGAGTCCGAATGGGTTTTACCATGCTCTCAACAATGCCCCGGAGTGCACGGCGATGTTTTGCAATGGCTTCGGGTCTTCAAGCGTATGATCCCCAAATAAGTCGGCGCACTTTTTGCCGAGATATTGAACGGTGTTTGGCCTGCCACCAGAAGACGTCGTCAAAGTCTGCGATGTGGAACCTCTTGATAGGCTACCTTAGGTGCACGTTCTCTCAATCCTTGTTCATTACATCGTATGCGGGTGTGATAGCTTTGTTCTCGTGACATGTAGGTGCGAGAAGGATACAATCGAGGTTAGGAAAGCTCTTGAAGAACTATAAACCCACTCTGGCTTCAGCTAAGTTCCGGATATGATGCAATCGTTGGTGTGAGCTCGGGTCATGTCATCCAATTGGCTGTTTGTGATAGCTGCAGGATCGGGGGGTATTGTATCATGTTCCACGAGTATTGAGAGGTACCAATCGCAGAACAAAAACACCAGCAGCTTGGTCTCTGGCAGCCTAGCTTGAAGATTCTGCAAGGTCGTCGGCTTTGTCGATGACCTCATAAGATGTGTCGATGACCTTCATTGTCCGCGAAACCTTAATATCCATCACATTCCTTTTGAAACTTGTGTAAGTAATGTGTAGAGTGGAGATGATTCATTTGAAGGAATATCCAGGAATTTTCAAGCACTGGATGATAGAACGAGGAACGAGCGCCCGTTTGATTTTGTGTCGTATCTGAAGTACTGGGTCTTTCCTTCAATCTGGAATGAAGTCGATGCCCCATCCGTATCTCCCCGCAATTCTCCGAGAAAGATTTCAGCCTCGCGAAGCTTTCGGAAAATTGTTGTTCTGACCCAACTTCACCTAAAATAAGGTTGACCAACGCATGAGCGGTTTCTTTCCGCGGACGAGAATATTCGTACAGTAAATTACACTTAGGTGGGTCAATGCCAATGTCATGACCTCCCAAGATCCCTTCAGTTCTTCGCAGGAGCGGATGCAGAAGAATCTGCATCTGGACCTGCCTCAATAATCGGAGAAGAATCTTCACCAATGTGGAGGGTCTGAGCCTGAGCTTGTGTCTCAAGTGCAGCCGTAGGGACTTCGACAACAGGGACGACTTGCGGAAGACTTTCTTGATCCTTCAATTCGGCTGATTTGGCGGTATCTGTCTTCTGGGCTGCTGGATTTTGTGTTTGTGCTTCAAAAGCGACGTGATTTGGATCTCTGGTAGGCTCGACTTCCTTGGGGCCTTCATCCTGATGACTTGATGATGTTTCCATAGGTTGTACGACAAGGTTTCCTGTTTCGAGTGCACCCATAGGCAGTATCTGTTGAGGAGCGGGAGCTGGTGCATCAAGTACCATGGATTCTGGCATTGAAGCACCTTCCAGTGGACCGCTTTCTCTGTTTGGTGACACATCTACGTTCGCAGCTGGGACATCTGAACGACCGCTCTCCAAGGTCATGTCGGCCTTGTTTCTATCCTCTCGAGGTTCTTGTTTCTTCGAAAGTTCAGACATGGAATCAGGGTTGTCAATGGTGTCTCGTGCAATTGGTAAGGAGTCTTGCTGTTGTTGGTGTGTTAGCAAAGTGATGAATAGTCAAAAATAGGAAGGATATCGCTTACTGTTCGGGCTGTCTTGTTTGGCGAAGCATCATTAGCAGTCATGTCTTGATCTCTCTGCGCTGTTGAAGCCTCTCCGTTGTCAATGTCTTTTGACAAACCTCGAGGAGTTCCCTTCCACCAACTTCTCATGCCGACACCTCTGATTTCTCCGTTGTTCAGAACGTGGGGTCCGCTCTGATCACTTCTCATGTGACTTTCTTCCATTCTTGTGTCCTCTGGATCTCCGTGAGCCATGGCTCGCTTCCCATTTCCGTTCATCTTCTTTTCCAACGACATTTCGCGGTCTTGATCAGCCTCCTGCTGTTGTCTGTCCATAACATACTCCTGATGTTGCATATTCATGAACTGTTTCTTCGCGGCATTTCCACTCTGCATTCCATCTACTCCACCAACCCACTTGATGTTCATGATTAGATAACTCAAGCCATCATGTGTAGTCGTATTTTGTCCTCCCCATTCACGACTCTTGATACCGAATCGGACCCTGCTCGAATATTTGGCAAGACACGCCAAGACAAGTACTGTCACATGAAGGTCGCGATTGGTACGAACTGGCATGGGACCTCTGGCAGGGGGGCTGTCAAAGGACTCATCCGGACCATGTGCCATGATATCAAGTTCTGGTTCAACAGAGACACCTTCATCTGATGGGTAGAGATTCAAAAGTTTAACATCGACATCTGGGGCCCATTTTCCGCAGAACCAACCTTGATGAATACATGCAGCAATTATATCCGAATCATCTGTATAGACATCAGTACCCCATAAATTTTTCCGATACGTGATTTCTTCTCTGCTTTTGGGTTCGAGATGAACGCGAGAAATCTTGATCGTGTAAGTGCAATTTACCATGCCTTCAAAGTTTGGGAAAGCTCTGTTGGTACTAGCAAAGGCGCGATTGTATGGCAGACGATCGGCAGAGCTTGATCGGTACAACGTGAGATTGGGTTGGTAATACTCATAACCAAGATGTGCACGGGGATAAACGGATGCCGCTTCAATGATCGGTTGTGATATAACTTGGTATCTAGGCATACGAACGATGGTATTGATAGGCGAGGCAACCTTTGGTCCTGCCGAATGGTGATGATGATGATGATGGCGCTGAACATGATGATGCGGAACAACTGCTCTTTCTCCATTTGGTGGAGATACATTACCATTATTGCCCTTGTTGCTCTTGAATGGTGTCAGCGATTGTGATGAAGGTGAAGGGGCACGCTCCAGAGCATTAGGTCGATGATGATGACTAGAACATGTTAGAGGATTAAATAAAGGGGGGTTACAGGAACAGGGGCATACTGATGTCTATGTGCAGCATGCTTTATTCGCTTTCCTCTGCCGATAGGGGTCTGCCGTCCAGTACTACTGTCATCGTCGCCTCTGTCTTCTTCCTTGAGTTTTCTGCGTCTACCAAATGGTCTGGGCATCATGGAACCGCCAGTTTCGATGGGCGAATTCTGAGTAGAAGGTGAATCGAGATCTTCACGACGTGGGCCAGAGAAAGGCAGTCCTCCAGCGATAGATCCTGCAACAGGACTAGGCATGCTCATAGTTGCGCCGACTCCACTTCCAATGCCGTGGAATATCTTACCAAATTCACTCTTGATACCTGGTTCGCCAGTAGGACCAGGCTGTTGACCTTGGGCACCTTGTACAGCTTGCGGAATTGGTGAGATTCGACCTCCTCTACGGTTATCCTGAACACTCAAAAAGCTTCTCTGGCTCTGTTGCTGCATCATTTGCGGTGCTTCTTCAACCAGTCTTCTCTGAGGGGAGTCATGCTGTTGATATTGAGGATTGGACGGCGAGGGTCCACCGTAAGCCAATTGTTGAGGCTGCATCGCGCGTGCTTGGGCGTCTAATGCTTGTTGTCTTGCAGCAGCATGCTGTAGTAGGTGCGGGCCTCGGGTCATCCTCTCTTCATATGGTGGCTCAAAGTGAGGGCCTGGACCCGATGCGTGTTGTGATTGGGGATGTGGCTGAGGATGAGGTACAGGGGGGTACCGAGGATCGCGCTGATCATGAGGAGGCACTGGATCATAAGCCGGGTGGTTTTGGTATTGTGGGGCCGCGTTTCTTGGAAAATCATAGCCACTGCCATGTTGTTGCGTGTGAGCCTGGGGTGGCAGCGGCCGCTCATACTGTGGGGCTTCAAACCCAAGTCTTTGCTGTTCAAATCCAGGGCGCATCCAAGTGGTTTGTTCACGTGGATCGGGTTGACGACCATATACTGGTGGCTGATTTCTTTGAGCCATTTGGTGGGGATACTCGGCGACTATACCAGATCGTGCCTGTTCGTGCATGGCTAAAGCTTGTTCACGCTCTATGAGCAACCTCTCCCTCTGACTTAACATCATCGCCACCTCCCTCTCCCTCTCGCGATCTCTTTCCATGTGCTCAAACGCTGGATCATGTCTGTTGTTGAAACCACCGGGAGGTCTTTGGTGAAGAGGCTCACCTCTTGTTAATGTCTCCATGCCTCGAGGTTCGTGATCCACTCTTCGGCCAACAAATTGCGGTTCACCGTGTAAGATCGGGCGGTCTCCAGAACGAGGGTTGTGAGCCATTGGCTGGCTATTTGGCCGAGGGTTTCTGTCATCTGGGTGTGGCATCATTGAATTTTGGGGTGGTCTTTGGCCAAACTGTTGAGGCGTACCGTGTCGATGGTCAGGCGTTCCATATTGACCCGCGCCTAGTGGTGATCCTGCAGAGTTCGCGCGATGGTCTCGAGGTTCGTATCGTTGCTCAGGAGTCCGAGGACGTCCGAAAGACGTAAATTCATTCGCTGCCGAGCTAACGCGTGGTGAAGCATGCGGCGCGCTACCATACATGGGAGCCGGTGCCGATGTGCCGATTGGAGAGGTGTACTGATTGGAAACTTGTTCTCGATTAACCGGTGTTGGACCTCCCAGCATCGATGAAATGGACATGCTACTTCCGGCCGTACTAGGTGGTCTGTTTAAAGGTGGCAACGTTGGTAGCTCCCGGCCACTTGGAAATCCAACTGGAGGGCCAACAGAGACCGGAGGTGCTCGAGGGTGTGGTGGTCCGTAGCCATGTTGCGTCGGTCCTTGGTGCTGCTGTTGCTGTTGCTGGGGTGAAGATGGTGGCGGCATGCCTCTTCCTACAGGAGTTCCGTGTCCAATCGAAGAAGAGCTTTGGTGCCTTGAATGACCGCCTCCATGCATCGGTGGTCCATCTTGATAACGCGGTTGCGGTTGCGGTTGAAAATATTGACCATCAGAAGTTCTTCGTTGATGATCCGCGTATGAAGGGGGAGCGTTCGGTGGATGCGACGATGTAGGATATTGCGACGCTTGACCATTCGGCGCGGGTGGAAACGAAGGACGACCATATGGAGAGGCCGTGTTCGTATTCCGTGAGAACGGCAGCTGTGGCGGCGGTCGTCCTCCTTCCATAACGAGGTTTGTCTATTTGTTATGGAATATGTATGGGATAGGTTCGAGTTTGAGTTGGAAGGTGGGAAAGAAGATCTAAGTTTCAACCAAACGATTGATTTTATTAAGGTTCGTTCACTTCAGTAATCTTCCTCCACGGAGTGAATATGTCGATCGATTTAGATTCCTTGAATATCTGACGACGTATCCCCGTATCGCCGAATTGTATTGATATCGAAAAAGAACCGGCAAGGTCGGATCGAATGAATATTTCAAGTGAATTCGCAAACCAAGTGTTGTTGATATCTGCCAGTTGAAGATCGATATCGTGGCACGGCACGTAACGGGTACGGTGTAGGAAGGAGATTTAATATGGCGCAGGGACTTTTCTCGGTGAAGGGTTGTAAGTTATAAGGTGTAAGTTGTAACTTGTAAGGAAAGGCTTTAAGAGATTTGTGGAAATGAAGTTAATATCGACGACGGTTGATTAATAGGTAAAATTAGATTTCAACAACTTCATATGAGTGATTGAAGGTTGTTGATATTATTGATGACTTACAAGATTCTTTTTCCATGAAGCTTTGATGATGAAAGTTAATGGGTTAGTGTAGTGTGGATAATATTAGCTTGGCTGGGTTTAGCTTGATTAGGTAGCTTGAATAGGTAGATTTTTAGTGAATAATGGAGAAAAAGTAAATCTGGAGCCCAAAGGGTAGGAATCTGATAGTAATGGGATCTCCACAAGTATCCACATTATCCACTTATACTAAAGGCCAACGATGGGGCAAAGAAAGTCGAATTAAACAGGGGGAAAGCATGGATTAGTTTTAGCCCTAGTACCCTGATCCGTCGAGAATGAATTAGAACATGGATGGGTAAGCTGAATAAGCGTGGAATATCCTTGACTAAGACTAGTTAGTTGTGAGCTTAATTAATTATTTAAAAATGGGGTAAATAATATATCCGCGTTCTAATTAACAGCTTATTACCTTATTACCTAGATAGATAGATTATACTGTTTATTCCATTCCTTTACTTCACCTTAAACAGAACATCTTACATATAGTATATCATTACATGCTTACCTAGTACTTGGGGTAAAAGGTTACTCCAATGCATGCTGTACTTTTACTAGGTATATCTATTGTATCTAATCATCTGAGGATAACTTGTCAAAGTAATACTACCTAACATGCACCTAATATGCATGTACCATTCCGTAAACCCAAGTAACCGCTCTCGAGCCGCCGAAGTGTTCCTTTAACCGCAATATAATTACTGTTTCTATATCTGTTTCATACTCATGCATTACCTTTGAAACATACTTAGATATACTATATATTACTTACTACTTACTTACTGTATCTATAACACAAAGTATACAAAACAAACAATCATTATCAAAATATAATATCAACCTTCCAAAGTCTGCTTAGTAACAAAACACAAGACTCAAACCATCATTTCTTACTAACCGAGCAGTGAATCTCTCTTTCTCTCTCTCAGTCGCGTAATCAAGGAGATCAGAACCACATGGTTTTGAAAATTGAATGATCCGGGAAAGGAAAGTGAATATCTCGTTTCGAGCTGTTGGGAAAGGGGGGTCTTGAAATCTTGAGTTTGCCCCACCACCATTTTCTTTTGAGGTGAATCTTCATTATGGTGATATTACTTGGAATTGAATTTCGACCGAGGCTTGGATTTTAACTTTGATTTTGATTTCACTTCGATTTTGACTACTCTTTGATTCCGGCTTCGGTTTGAGCTTTTCTTAAATCCGGGTAGGTGTTTGATTAACAAATAATTTGCTTTTGGTAGTAAGAGGTGAATAGAATTAACACGATTATGTACCGGTATATACCTGTGAAGGGGAACTCATCCGTGTACAGGTAGGTGTACAGGTACTTACCTACCCACCTAGGTACCTAGGTGCCTGATCAACTTCATTGAAACATGACAGACACTTATCCGTTCGTTACCTTATCTTACAGTACCTTCCTTATCTTATTCATCATTTTACCTCACTCAAATTCATTTTGTACATCACATCACCCATCAATCACATCATTTCATATTATTACTCGTATCACTGATATGATCTTACACTCTCCCTTACCCATCCATTCACGGCAATGAATAGATCTCCTTCATCTACCGGCATTGCATTTCCACTTCCAGGATCGCCAGGGTCTTCGTGGGCTATGTACCGTGCAAGGTTTAAAGCTATATTTCATGGTGCAGATACTTCGGTTTTGGTCGCATTCTGGTTATTTGGTATGGGATTCTTGTATTTGCTCATAACAGATCATCAGATTTCTGGTCACACAATTATTCTAATATTGAGTCTTGTATAGGTCTCATCAATAATGTATTATATGTAGTCATCTTGTCTGCGGCGCTTGATCTAGTCGGTAAGTTTCTTCCCCTTTTCCTCCTAGATTCACCACCTTCACTCCATACACAGTACCATTTGTCATCGCAAGACAAGATCAATTGCTAACACTTCTTCCTTTAGGTCCGAGTATCCCCAAATCCGTCGTTCTCCTCGCAGATGTCCTACCTTCCTTTGTAACTAAACTCGTCGCTCCTTACTTTATACACAAAGTCCCATATTGGATTAGAATCCTCATATTTTGCGGCTTATCATCAGGGGGGATGCTCCTCATAGCATTAACCCCTACCGACAAATCAGTATCGACAAAACTATTCGGTGTCATACTTGCTAGTCTCAGTAGTGGTGGTGGAGAATTAAGTTTCTTGGGTCTCACACATTACTATGGGCATTTCAGTCTGGCAGCATGGGGAAGCGGGACGGGAGGGGCTGGTTTGGCAGGGGCTGGATTATACGTCTTATTGACTACCATTATTGGACTCTCAGTCAAGACAAGCCTGTTAGCTTCTGCATTCTTGCCCTGCATAATGCTTCTTTCTTTCTTCGTTATATTACCTCAAGGACCACTGAAAAGAGCACATCTCCAGAAAGACTATCACACTCTTCCCGAAGATGAACCACTTACTCAACCCCTCACAAGTTCCGACATTGAACATCTCCCAGCTGATTCCGCAGCCGCCTCTCTACTTGCGCCAGGTCCCGCCATTGCATCCGAAGCCTACTCATCACACTCTCCCCGTCCATCTTCCCCCGTGCTCTCCCGCCACCAACCCAAATTTACATTCCTGCACAACCTGCACCGCGCATCCTCGCTCTTCTTCCCTTATATGCTCCCGCTCCTCCTCGTCTACATAGCCGAATACACCATCAACCAAGGCGTCTCCCCCACCCTCCTCTACCTCACCCCATCCCCCGGTAACCCCTTTTCCACCTACCGCTCCTTCTATCCCACCTACGGCTTCATCTACCAAGTCGGCGTCTTTGTTTCCCGTTCCTCTACCCCTTTCTTCCGCATCCACAATCTCTATCTCCCATCTTTTCTCCAAATCGCCAATCTCTTCCTGTTAATTTCTCAAGCGTTATGGTTCTGGATTCCGAGCGTATATATCATTTTTATCATTGTTTTTTGGGAGGGATTGTTGGGAGGCGCGGTTTATGTAAATACGTTTGCGGAGATTATGGAGAGGGTTCCGGACAGAGATAGGGAGTTTAGTTTGGGGGCGACCAGCGTGAGTGATAGTGGGGGGATTTGTGTGGCGGGGTTTGTGGGAATGGTGTTGGAGGTGGCGTTGTGTGAGTGGCAGGTTGAGAGGGGGAGGGGGTGGTGTAGGATGGTGTAGATGTGGGTAGTAGAAGAGGAAAAGAGAAGGGTAGTGGAAGAGGAAGAGGAAGAGGAATAGCAAAGATGTTAGGGGTAAAGGCTTTATGGTTTGTGTGGGTTCATGTTATAAATACTTGGTTAGAGAGATACAGTAGATACCTTTCAACTCAGAATTTCTTTCACGTCTGCTCGATATATCATCAATTCTTATTTAAATGTTCAAGATAATGCGGCTGATGCGGTACACTCATCCCCCATCCCATCTACTCATGCCACCAGAAAGTCCGCAACTCGAGAAAACCAGCACGTACCATATACCGGTAATGGTAAACTACAAGGGAGTAACCTAGCTTTTTTAGTTCCCGAGTTGCGGACTTTCTGGCGACAATGAGTATACTTCAATAGGAAATACTTTTGGACCTAAAGTCAACTTCATATATCTTCAAGAACTGATGTTGGCTAACTGGCTGAGTAAAAGGGGGGATGAGGTAAGATTTATCCAAGCATTAGCATTATGAAAAAGGCCCAGCCAGGCGAGTAAGGCTACACCACTAATAATAACCTATATATCCCTGTATTTCAGCCTTTTTAGCCACTTTAGCTCAAGTCTATAGCACCCAGCCCTTGTCTTTTCTGGAATGTCACTCCCCTGCAACACACCATCAAAAATTCGATCATTAATCGATTGCGGCGATGCTTGGACAAACTTGATGAAACATTCATGTTTGACAATAAAGATGTTTGACAATAAAGATGTTTGACAATAAAGATAGGCAGGCACAAGTACTCGAGTTAATTGAATCACTGTCATCTCAAACCACATCACATTGTTGATTGCTTGATTCTCTTATTCCTTTTTGTACTTTCTTCCTCTCTCTCGTTAACCTTATTTTATTTGAGAATAAGGATTTGAAAAGGCATCATATCATAATCCTCAAAATGCGTTCTTCATTCTTGCTTTTAGCAGGCGCAATCACTTACACACGATCAACATGTCAAGCTGCATATGTACCCGGAGCATCTTTTGATAGATTTTTTACCATCTGGCTCGAAAACCAAGTTTGTCCTCTTCATCTTCCCATCGTACATACCACACAAAATACTAACAGCTTCCTCCGCAGGATGATGCGAAAGTAGAAGAAAATGCCGACATACAAAATCTCACCAAACAAGGCATACTCCTCGAAAACTATTACGGGCTCACGCATCCCTCTCAACCAAACTATATAGCCTCTGTTGGAGGAGACTTCTTTGGTCTTAATCACGATGAGTTTGTGAGGATACCGCATAATGTGACGACGGTAGTGGATCTTTTTGAGGATGCGGGGATTACTTGGAAGGGATATTTTGAGGGGATGCCGGGGCCTGGGTATATGGGGGAGGGAAGTACGGCGCAGGATGGGAATGGATGGGATTATGTTCGGAAACATAAGTAAGTATTTACAAACTTCTTTCTAATCAAATAGTCTGCCTCCACGGCAGTGGCCCCCGGAGGGCCAGCGGAGCGTCATTATATCTTTCGAAGAGAAAGACAAGTACTAATACGTGAACCAATAGTCCTTTCGTAAGTTACGACAGTATAAATTCAAATGGCACTCGCCTTCAAAATCTCCTCTCTCTGGACGATTTCTCTACCACAGTCCAAACCGATCCATCCTCCTTACCACAATACGCGCATATATCCCCCGACATGCTAAACGATGGCCATAATACCTCCTTATCCTATGCCGCAAACTGGACTCGATCATTCCTCACACCCCTTCTACAAAACGAAGCATTCATGAACAATACTCTCATCCTACTCACCTATGACGAATCGGAAACCTATTCCATACCAAATAGAATCTATTCCGTACTCCTAGGTGGTGCCGTTCCAGCAGATAAAAAAGGAACAGTAGATACAACAATTTATTCCCACTACAGTATCCTCTCCACTCTTGAAAATAACTGGGGTCTACCCAATCTCGGTCGTTACGACGTTGGCGCCAATGTATTTTCTCTTTGCGCCGAAAAAACCAATTATTCGAATATAAATCTCGACATGTCAATCCTCAACAATTCCCTAAGTTACCCGGGATTCCTCAATAACAATCCAGCTAAATGGGCGGCAATCCCGGTTCCAAATCTCCAATTAGTGGGCGCGGGAGGTAAAGGCGTAGATGATTATACGCGTTCTGAATGGGTGAGTGCTAAAACTGAAGATACGCCTTATAATGGGAGTGGAGAGTTTTTCGATGGTGGAAATGGAGTTAGTGATGAGCGGAAACCGGTTTATGGAAGTCAAGGGGCGAATGTTGTGGCTACGGCTACGGTTGCTATGCCGTATGGTGTGAGCGCGACGCCTGTTGTGAGTAGTAGTAGTGGTAGTGGTGGTGCAGCGAGTGCGACGGGAACGGCGGGGACGGCGGAGACGACAAAGGGAAGTGGTGCTGAGAGGAGTAGAAGTGTGGGGATGGGGTGTGGGAAGGAGGTTTTGGGGTTGTGGGTTGCGTTGGTTTTTGCGGTGGTGGTTTTATAGATTGATGGATGGATGGATGGATGGATGGGGTTATATGGGGAGATGGGTTTGGGTTTTATGGGGCTGGGTGCTATGGTTTATGGGGTTTAGGGGTTTAGGGCTATGGGTTTAGAGTTTTGGGTTAAGTGGTAAATGGGAGGACCATGTATATTAGTGGGAGGGGAAGGGGAAGGGAGGGGAGTATCGGGTGTATATACCTTTTGCTTCGATTCGATGCGATGCGATGAGTTTATGAGTTCATAGATACCAACCAACCAATATGGCAAGTGGCCTATACAAATAGAGTGAGTTTGAGTCTTAGCTTGTGTTTGGGTTTGGGTTTTAGCTTGAGTTTTAGCTTGAGATTTGATCTTTTAAGATTATTCTTTGAGTACTGTACAGTACTGAGTAGGTATGTTATGCTATATTATATTATAGAGTGGTTGAGTGATTGAGTTATATCATATTGTAGTATCGTTGAGTAGATGGAGAAAAGGTTTTGTAGATTGGTATTGGTATTGGTATTGATATTATATTCTTGCCATAGATGCAAATATGAATATAAACGACCTACCGCTATAACATTATTTTTCAAATACTCGTATAGAAGGAATGTGAAGGAAACTTTTGATTTGAGGGGATGTTTTGGGGTTGGGGGTTGAGGTGGAGGCGGAGGTGGGGATAAGGGGAGCATGGGGAATGGGGATGGAGGTGAAATGAAGATATGGGATGGGGATTTAGGATGGGGATAGGGGATGAGGATAAGGAATAGGGGGAGAAGGGAGATGGAGGTGGAGGTGGGAATGAAGATAGGGATGAGGATAGGGATGGAGAAGAGGATATAATATAGTGGTATACTCGTAGAGTTATGAAGTATAGAATATTCTTCTAACCTCTACTTTACTTTTAGGCTTTGTTATACTATATTCACTATATGAGTAGTAAATACTAATATCTTTCTATATATACTACAGTATATCCATCTATATAACAATTTATCTACTCGTAAGCGAGTTACTATAGTTCCATATACTAGGTATATATCTTTTACGAGTACCATGATATCATCTATTGTCTACAGCGTGACATCCGACTCCCTCCCTCTCCTCCACCGTGACATTTCCCCTAGTAGATTTCTAAATTCTAAATTCTAAATTCTAATAATTTAGAAGATTCTACGGGCTTGAGTACATATTGTTAGATTGGTAAAACATCTAATCAGATAGATTCGAATTTCGATAGCAAATGTATTTATACTCGAGTATATCTTCAGAAAGTTATTTGGATTGTAATCAAGTAGATCACTTTCCTGGCCAATGATCCCATATCTTTGTGTTTTTCTTCTGCTTAATTGCAGCTTATTAGGATTGTAAGGATACTCCTCTTTTACATCGACTTTTGATTCATCTTCTACTCGAGTATATCTTCTTTACTCTACTAATTAGTACTCTTCTCTATATCAGCTCTATATCCTCAAAATCATTATCTATTCTCTAATCTTACAACTTTCAACTTACTTCATAAATCTATACATTATCCTCTTCATATGATCTTCCTCATATAATCATGTCCTCCCAATCACTTTTCCACCCACCCATCCTATCCCATTCCTCCCTGCATCTTTTTCTTGCCTCCCTCCATCTCTTTCTTCCTCTCCCTCCACCTGATATTTCCATTTTCTCCTAAATCTCTTATATCTTCTCAACCTCCTCATCATCAAAGTTCAAAGTTCTATCTCCTATTCTACTCTCCTTATCATCCATCTTCTTCAACCCTCCATTTTCTCATCCTTTCCTTCCCATACTATATCTATTCAATCATTTCTTTCCCCTATCTCGCTTATCTCGCTTATCTTCACTATTTTCATTTTCATTTTTTCCATTTTTCAATATCCTAATCAACCTCTTTACTTTCCATATTTTCTTTTTTTCTTCTACTCTTTCTTTAGATTATCATTTATAAATCATTCTAACTTAACCAAAAAAAGTTTATTTTTCCATTTTCTCTCTATTCCTGTCTAATAGCCCTTTCAAAAGTATTCACCTCCCTCCCAACTACCGGTAATTATATCGAACCTAGACCTGAAATTCCCATCCCCATCCCCATCCCAATCCCCATCCACCTCAACGCCGTTCATAAAAAGCATTTTGAAAATTGAAACAGGTGATCGATTGTTTTGCTCTTTAGAATAAGTTATGTCGATGACGACATTTGAAAAATTGGCCGAAATGTATATGTAAAGATAAAGATTTTGGATTTGTATCATTTAATCAGGAATTGAAAGATGTAGATTTTTTTCTACTACGTGTTATATTGAGCCGGTAATGGAGGTGTAGTAATGATCTGTTGGATTAGCTGATCTAGTACTCGAGTAGATACGATTAAGCTGGCGAGAAATTAGTTATTTTAACGGCACGGATACTTTTGGGGAGAGCGATTTGCCGAAAGGGCAAGTTCGACTTCAAAGTGCTAAAGTAGTGATAAGTCTTGAGACTAACGGAGATGAAAAGTTTCAACTAAAATCTCGCGGATGAAGAGGCATATGAGCAGAAGTAATTATTATATAAATCATCAATATTCTATGTGATCAATATTTGACTCTATACGAGTCGACGAAACATGAACTCAAATAGATATCACGATACTTGGTGATGACAGTGACACATTGTACGAGAGAAAAAGGGTTCATATTTCGAAGAAAAGAGAGCTAAATTCCATGGACTCAGATACTCAGAGAGTCTGGATGACTTCACTAAGTTAAGTTAGTGGATATAAATATCATATCAAGGCGGTTACTCAACTAAAACCCTATGTAATGTAAGATGTTATTACTACCCAGACTATCGATTGATAAAATGATACAGGTAACAAACTTGGAGATATTTTCTTATAGATGTGCAACATACTCTTTCATAGGAATCGAGTGGGCTTTTTATTTCGTCAGGATTTGACAGTATTAGGATAATTGGGAAAATGGCAATTTGCTAGAGAAGTCTAATACCTCTCTAAAGTTTATTAATCCCACGGGATGAGCAGGAGCTACATCTACGTGACCATGTCCATGTCCATGTCCATGTTCATGACTTCTAATTGCGGATCTACGTTCTTAAAGGCTCTATTGCACTTGCATAGATGATTCTTTCCTTTTCTTTCTCTTCGCTCGATCATCAGAATTGGTAATAATTAAGAAAAGTTACATCCATCGTACAGTGGTATTTAAACGCCGAGACATGAAATTATGAGTTGATACTGTAGGTAGTAATCTTACATTTGAGATAAAAACATTGTCAGAATGTGGCCAGGCATAATTGTATGAACAGTCCAAGGTTCACTGGGTATGATGGCAAAGAATGGATAAACTGGTTTGGATAAGTAGAAAGAGCTTGTCTAGCTGCCATCTGTAATATTGAAGACTGAAGAACTCGGATGATCTATACCTGCACTTGCAGATAGATACACAATTGGTTTTCGGTGAGGTAAGATATCAGAAAACTTACGGTGATCTTCTAGATTGGTATAGCACGGAATGCCATTTTGCAACAAGCCTAGACCGAATCTATAGTGAGTCAAAGCCTGTAAGTATAGTTAGTACTTGAATCGCTCCCAGTGATCTCTTCACAAATTGAATATAAAAGTCTTGGACTTGGAAAAACTGTCTCTCCCTCGAACCGTACGACTAATAGCAAATTCGACCACTTCATTTTGTTAAGAAAATTTGAGCAACTCAGAAATCAGAACTCCACGTTGTATGTTTCTTCCTCATTTTTTTTGATACTTTATTCGCCTCGAATCTTATCATTTTTGATGTGTTCTGGAAGAATTTACAACTTTCCGAAAAACCACTTGGTATAAACAGATTTAGATCATATGTTTAGAAAGCCATTTCTTATGGCTTGTTGAGGAAGAAGGGATGCAATCTGGATACTGCAGCGATTGAAGTGAGAGTTGGGACTAGGCTTGCCATCTACTCTCCCAAAAATTGCAGTGAAAAGGGAAGTGGTAGGAAACGAGATTGGACTTGCGCCAACTTCACAATACATCGCTCCCCAGCATCAGTTGACCTTGATAATATCCCTTCCAGGATTTCCTCGCGGATTCATGTTTATTTTTTAGCTTTAGCATATTAGAATACCGCAGCATTTTCACAGTTACAGATTAGACGGGTAAGATGGGCTGGATTTATGATGGTTCACTAATCTGCCATTCATTAGTATTGCTTTAGCAAGTTAGATGGGGACAAGATTTGTAATTTCTACACAACTCAATTCGTATTTGTCTGTGTGTTCCACAGATTTCCCACGCCTCACATGAAACCGGTGTATAGGCCACGACATACCTCGTCCAAAGGTTGTGGGTAATTGTATACTAGACCACAGATAGAGCCTCCATCTATGACTTGCTTGATATCGTTGTTGATTGCAGAGCCAGTGGGAACATATTTGCTCAGCTCGATGTATCAAAGTTGAAAATCCCAATATAAGGGCTTATAGATACGTGAATGTTTCAGTAACAGCAGCCAGAAGACCGGTTCGAGGTTCGATTCGTATTGTAGCTTCATAAGACAAAGGGATTTGACCATTATGATCAGGTTGCTGCTTGAATTCTGACATGGATTCGTGGGCTCTGATGTTCATTATGTGCTAAATCTGGCATGATTGTTGCAGAATAGGGAATAGTTTGTTAACTACTCGAGTATAGGAATGAAGCAATATATGATGTTAGAGTGAGGCCGTTTACGGTGGTATAGAAAGCCGATGTCGAACATTTGAGGAGCATATAATAGAGCTTTTATATGAGATGAGGTCTGAGGTTATTCATAAGTCGTTTGGGGGTTACTTTATGATCCGTACCTATGGTCCGTGTGATATTGTTGTGAATCCTGTCTATTCGAGTAAGATTGTCCCAAAAATACATCGTATGTGCGGTGATTATATCAATCAAATCAACAACCGTACTAGGTACTGTAGATAATTCATCCAATCTTGAAAGCAATTGATATTCACATTCACATTTTTATGAAGGGAGCGATACCTTCCTTGTTTTTCTATGCCAAAATAATCTTGGACTACATCAAAAAAATCATTCCCTGTGTGCAATGCAATGCAATGGCCTGAATGTGCACACCGCAAAATGCGTTTGGGCGTCTAATAAACTTTCGAATTGCTTCTCTGGCCGGAACCTTCATTTCCCAATATACCACTTGCTCAAGTCTAGGTAGTACCTATATCTAGCGGCGTAATAGTGCATCCAGTGCAGTAGCATCGTGAAGGGTGATATTGAATGCGAATACTCCTGAGACCAAGGATTTTTGCAACGGCAATTAAACTTTTCTACCGTAGTATATTCGATGACCATAGTACGGCAGCTCTAAGGTTATTTAGTAATCGAGGGTTTGAGTTTTTTCTTCAATGGCACTTTCCATCTTAGTAGATTTGAGTTACATATATCACTACGTTCCATCATTTGATTATCTGAACAATTCACATTCATACAGCCTCACTTCACTATTCAGAATGGACTCCCTCAGAAGACAAGTCGTTCACCCGATGGATTGGGGAAGCCGACCTGGGAATGCACCTGGCGTATATGAATCGCATATTTCAGAGTCACTCCGTACATCAAGTTCAACATCACCCGTTTTACCTAGTCCTACCCAATCGTCCAAAATGACATCCACTGCGCATCAAACTTGTCGCTTGACACATCTACCCGTGGAAGTATTCCTTAATATATCAAAGTTCTTGCCTGCATCGTCGGCTCTCCTTATATCCCTCACCTGTAAAAGGTTGCGAAAAATACTACGAAAATACTCCGAGGCTCTGTCGGTGGAACCTGACGATCGATGTCTTGTTCTTGGCTTCCTCGCCAAATATCTGCCTCATCAGATTGCTTGTCATTGTTGCAATCGACTGCATAATTTGGAGAATGTATTGAGATATTATCAATCAGGTGGAAGCGCGTTGGAAAAACATGAAGAGAGCCCTAAAGCTCTGATATGTCGATTAAACACTTGTCTTGACGTAGACTATAAGCGATGGATAGACAAAGAATTTAGTCCGAATCTTTTTCACATGGCTATGAAGCATCATCTCCAGGACCCAAGTTGCATGCAGATCTTAGATCTACTATCAGGAGAGGGTACAAGCGAGCGTGACAAGAATGGTTGGATCATAGATTCCCAAACAGATTACCACATTTTTCAGGGGTCTTTGATTCATCGTGTACAAAAAGCCTATTCTGCAGCCACGATCAAGGGAATGTTATTTCATCCATCTTCTGAGCCATGTCCTCATATGACTATATTCTGTATCAACGGAGTTCTACATACCAGGAGGTACCCCCTGTCGGACTACGATAGTGGTGGATACTCGCACCTTGTTTCATTCGACCAGAGCAAGCCGGACATTACCTTAGATATTTTAAAATGTCATCGTTGCTCTGCACAGTGTCAAGTGGCCATCAAGATCTATCCTGACCGAGGTATGACAATCTTCATTACCAGATGGACAGATCTGGGATCTAGCGTGCTTGGCGAGAAATGGCAGAGATACTTCCGCGAAAGCTGTTTCGGATATCAGCATCAGACGCAACCAGAATGTCTGATTTTGTCATCAGCGTTCGAGAATGATTGTGGATTTCGCAGTATTGTAGAGTCTCGCTTTCAGCCGCGCTATCTATAATTACCTCAGTTCTTTGGCACCCGGAAGAATCCTGTGAAAGCAAAGAAAAATTGGTCGGCAGAAGATCTGAGGAATACTAGGAAACGAGGAGCATCCCTTATATTCAGGATACTGTGTCGATGTTGGGGTAAGAAATACTATACCGAAACTACTGTATTAGTATTGAAGTATAAAGTATTCCGCATATAGTAAAATATTTTCCAGACTATAGTTCTACAATCGAAAACAGATTCTACTGGGATCGCTTATGTGATATTTTATTCGTTTCAATCAACCTTCGGCCAAACTTTCAATTTAGATAGTTACATTGGTCATATTAGTTGTTAATATCACCAGAAATGCATTTTCTTCATAATCAGAGAATAGGTAGAGGAAAAGGAGGAGACAAAATGCCTTCTCGCTTAAATGTCTAATAGCGGTACTAGTTTAATATATAGACACTTCAGGCTCTATAAGTATTGCTTAAATAATTCCTAGATAAAAGTGAAAGCGTTTCCAGATGTTATAACCTTCCAACCGAAAAATGGTTCTGCTGAGATGCTTATCCAATATTTGTGTATTTGCGTTCATATCAAGCAACCTTTGGTTGGTATCTACATCGACTGCATCAGCCTGCTACTGCAAGACAATGCCTTGCTTTATTGCCAGGGGCGGAAAGTCCTCCTTCCCTAGTAGCTAATTGATAACCACCTAACAAACCAAGGAGACTCAGGTACGATTCTTGCTCCGTGAGTACCTCTCATGCAATATTTCCTTTCTTCGTAACATAGTGGTCGTGATTGGTTGATGTAAAAGTCCGTCACGCTATCACGTGCTGCGGGGTAATCTTGAAGCCTCAAATATTTTGGTCAAAAAATTCCCACGACAGTGACCAGGTCGTATTTTTCATAACTGAATTACCTACTCGCCTCCTTTTATTATCGCAAATATGGAAGATGACCGCGCGCAGGTTGATTTGGGGGTAGCTGTCGATGTAGAGAATACTTTCGAAGAGCCAATAGCACAACGTCAACCAAAGAAGCGTTTCGTCGGAAGGAAGCAAGCTGCAGAAGCAGCAGCAGCACGGATTGGCATCAATGCAACCCCAGGAGACAGTGGCGCTGTTCAAGGTCTGTAGCTTCTAATTCACAGTTTTGACTCCCTAGCTGATACCTTTATAGTTGCGACTCCAAGGAAAATTCGAACATTAAATCAAGTACCCCCCGAAATCTTGAATGACCCTGATATCAATGCTGCGATCGCCCTACTTCCACCAAATTATTCCTTTGAGATACACAAGACTATACATAGGATACGAGCAAATGGGTCAAAGAAGGTTGCGTTGCAGATGCCAGAAGGACTCCTACTGTTTGCAACCACTATTTCGGATATTCTTTCCCAATTTTGTCCTGGAATTGAGACGCTTATAATGGGGGATGTCACGTATGGAGCTTGTTGTATTGATGATTATACCGCCAGAGCCTTGGGCTGTGATTTACTGGTGCATTACGCGCATTCGTGTTTGATCCCCGTGGATGTTACAAAAATCAAAACTCTCTATGTATTCGTCGATATCAGCATAGACACGGCACATCTACTTGCAACTTTGGAGAAGAACTTTGCGTCAGGAAAGACCATTGCTATGGTAGGAACAATTCAATTTAATGCGACACTACATGGCGTTCGAGCCCCTCTCGAGAAAGCGGGGTATAATATTCTCATTCCTCAAATTGCTCCTCTCAGCAAAGGCGAGATTCTTGGATGCACTTCTCCTCAACTGTCAACTGATGGCGTTGATGTTATTCTGTATCTTGGAGATGGTCGTTTCCATCTTGAGAGCGCAATGATACACAATCCAACGATACCAGCTTACCGATACGATCCCTATTCTCGAAAGCTGACTCGTGAAAGTTACGATCACAAAGAGATGCATACTTTGAGAAGAGATGCTATCGAAACCGCAAAACCTGCAAAGAAGTGGGGACTTATTCTAGGATCTCTAGGCCGTCAGGGAAATCCACACACCATGACAATGATTGAGAAAAAGCTTGAGGAGCGAGGAACACCATATATCAACTTGCTCTTGAGCGAGATTTTCCCTGGAAAACTAGCCATGATGGACGATGTTGAGTGTTGGGTACAAGTAGCATGTCCCAGACTCAGTATCGATTGGGGATACGCATTTCCCAGACCTCTATTAACCCCCTACGAAGCATTAATCGTACTGGGCCAGAAAGAGGATTGGGCGAAAAGCAATAATGATATTTATCCTATGGATTACTATGGCAAGGAAGGCCTCGGCAGAACAAAGCCTATTGCCAGTATTCCAGTTGCGGGTTGAGAACTTTTCTTGCTAGTTTCGGGAAAAACTGACTTCCCCAACCTATTGCACGACATCACACAGTTGGCTAATTTGCTACCAACGCCATTGAGATTATTTGACTACATAATTTCTTCTTCCTCGTCAAATTTACTTTTCAAAGCCCAACTTTTGATACTGAATCGGAGTTTCTTTGCTCGCCGGGAAAGTTGTCCCGGAGCATACATCTCTGGCAATAACAGAACGAGGGCTATGAAAATTGTCAGACCGAAGATGGTAATGAGCCGCATTGTCCATCTCCAAACCAGATGACTTTGTGTTACAAATCCGCCATATCATGGGACCGAACAGAGGATCACACGGACAGCACTGATAACCTGCAAGTGCAATACCTCTGTGAACTGGGTTCACATTCCTACTATTATGCCACCGACAATGCTCTGTGGTTCTGCCCCAAATCCACCAGACAGGAATCGGCTGACCAAAACTATCGCCATGTTCTAAGCCTAAGCTACTTCAACTGGAATACAGAAGATGGCAAATCTAAAAACTCCAATAAGGAGTAGCAATCTTCGTCCAAGTCTTTCAGAGAGAGAGGCTCCGAAGAAGATCCGAAACAGTAGTGTGTATTTTCGCGACGACGTTAGTCACTTCTCTGCGTCTTTCACTCATGATCCTCTCAAAGCGGCCTAGAATCTGTTCCCAGAATTGTAACCTCGGAGGAACTCCCAATTTCATCCGCAAGTACCACATCCGCGCTGCCGAATATGCTGCTTAAGTTGGCAATACAAATAGGATAATTATTTAGAATCTTCGAGTTAATGGCCAATTTTGTGAATTTTCAAGATCGTCTGGCGAAGCCCTTGTCACGGTGTTAGTATCGGTGACTCATCCATTGGAGGGAACTTGGGCCTTGGATTTGTATTCATGTTGAGACTGGCGGCTGGTGTTGATTTCTCGAGATCGGGATTGAGTGGTTTGCTGAGGAATCGAAGGACATTTCTGGGCCTGAATGTCTAAATGTGCAATAAAGAACCAGCAATGGAAACAGATTTTAGATTTTCTAAAAATGTTTTCAAGACATCTATTTATATCTTCAAATTCGCCCGGCCTGTGAGAAATAAACGGATGAAATAAAAGCATATAGTCACGCCTTATGAAATTTGCCTGGGATAGAATACAACACAAATCCAAAACTCAAGTCCACAAACACTTTTCTTTCACCTTTCCATTTCCACATTTACCAGATTTTCCTGTGGACATCTACACAATATACATATACTTACATTCTTTCGCAATACAACGCCGAATATTCATGATGTTTTGTAAGGAATTTTCGACGAGCGGCTGTCGTGCAGTGCAGTTAGCGAGGGCTACAAAACACAAATAGGGGCGTGGTCTAGTATCCTGTCCCACTACCAAAATTCGATCCGCCATACCCCATGGTCGAAATTTTCGTAGCTATGATCACCACGACTAGCTCTCTTGGAAAAGTCTACGTGGGACTTTACATGAAGAATACTAGGCTTCAATTGCATTCGGATTCTTCTTCAAGGCAAAAGTCTATGATGAAATCTTTTGGTTCAGCTGGACCCAGAATGCTCAAGTTTTCACACGCAGATAATAATTAACCTTAGGCCAAGCTATTTTGCAGTCGAACTTGAGTTACATGGGACACTTGTTTCTTACAGCCCATATCTAAGTACTATATTACTTTGTAGTACTTCGATGACGACACATATATCACGACTTTTGGAGGACTTTGAGAGATTCTTGGTAATTGTAGGAGAGGGAGCTTGTGGCACGGGATTCAATAATACGTGGTATTATTTGAATTAATCGATGTAGAAATAATTGAAATATTTTAATTAGAAAAGGGTTTTCATGCTCAGTCAGGCCCTTTTTCATTGTGTGTCACTGTAGATTGTGATTTCTTTGCTTGCGAAACCCTTGGAGATACAGTATATGTAGTTGTTGAATATGGCTAGGGCAATGTGGATTTTTGGGTTGAAGGAAGGCGTGGAGGTTGAGTTGATGAGATTTTCAGCTGAAGCAGACCTTTGAATTAAAGATACCAGCCAGAGATGACAAAAGCAGCCGTTATCTTGACAAAGTTATCTGAGGTAAATGCGTTTGTCAAGTATCCATGAAGATACTACTACTACTACTACTACTACTATACCCAAAAAGGACAAATCATCTCATCCCTCCAATTCCTCTCCATCAAAACCCTCAATAGCTCCTCTAACTCCTCCTGCTTCCGAAAACCCTCCATCAAATCCATACAAACACCATCCCAACACCTCGACATCGTTTTTGCGTGTATTTTTCCTAATGATATCTCCGATCCAGTGAATAAAGACGATGCAAAGGCGAGAATTGTCAAAACTGATTATTGAGAGGAGATGGCTCAATATCGTTGGGAAATCTTGTTTGTGGTCGATGGTGAGTGGTTGGTTACAGAGGACTAGTTGGCTGCGATTGGGGGTGTCTTCTTGCAGTAGGGTTGAGATTTGTTTTGGCTCGGACGCGTAACTTATGAGGGGTGGGAGGGCTTGGTGGGGATGAGGATGAAGATGGTTTGGACAATTTTGGAGAGTGATGGGTTGGTATTTATGAGGCGTTATCTGGAAGGAAGGGTTGGCTTACTGTTGTAAACTTGCGAGAAGCGATAAATTTCGTTATTGAAGAACTGTATCAATATCGAGGATGGAAGGAAGATCTTGAGATGGAAATAGACAGTACATCTCAGACTAGAAGAAGATCCTCGAATAGTCACTCAGATGGAAACAATTCCATGAAAGGTGAGTAGAGGCTTCAAGGGTTTCAAGTCTGGACTGCAGCCACTGAGTCTAAACACACAAAGCCTGGCTGAAAAAAGGTAGCTGTTACAAGCAGTTACACTTGGCAATGGTGCATGTATTCCACTTTCCTGAGCATCCTTTTCGATATATACTCTATATGCAGCAGAAAAACATTGAAGGCTTCATCCGTCTGACCCACGCATCTAATTCTTCCAAAGAAAGAACCAGTGATATCTAAGATAAGACATTGAATAGAAGAGCACGATGTCATCTTCCTTTTGATGGATGTTTGGTTGCCTACCAGAACAATAGCTTTCTTGAAGTGAAATCAGTAAGATTCTTTAGCCAAATTGGAAAGCTTGAGGATTATGAAGTGGAATCTAGCATAAATGCCCTCGTTTTTATCACTGGATGTCATACAGAATAGCGGCATTTGACTAAAATCTCCTCACAATAGCTCAATATTCGAAGAGATAATGGAGGAACACAGCGGAACATATGTGACTGGCGGCTCGAGTGATGCAAAGATGGCATCAATCCTCTCATTCCTCTCAACATCGCAACCTTCCAAGGCCACCAGAGAAAGCAGTTCGACACCAGGTACGCCGGTAAAGTATCCTATCCTCATACGACCGCACTTGGGTAACAATAGCCCCGATCCCTAGCTTGGAGGTATTCGCTACACTCTGAAGATAAGAACACCGGGTTGCTGCCATGCAAGATTTTCATACCGGAAGTTGATGGTGTCTCGGCGCACCTATGGTGTCATCCATCTCACAATAACCATTTGATGGTTGCGAACATTGATCCGACTCTGTGGTACAAGGAGATCCTCATGCAGATGATAGATGGGGTATGTAAAGGAGGCCTTGCTGAACAGCTCCTAGAAAAAGAATTTGATGAATTGACAGAGGTGGTCTTGTTGGAAGTGCGCGTTGTATGGGGTGTGAACAAAGAGAGCTACACTATATTCGCAATGGGTGATCCAGGAAGCGATGAAGCTTTGCGAAACATACTCCGGATTATGACGGCTAGAGGGTGGAAAGACCACATCTGGATGGAATTTGAGGTCTAATTCTCGGAGCCAATGTAGAATTGAATAAAGAAGACGTCTTTTACTCTCCAACATGAGTCATTCTGCAAGAGCGTGGCCAGACATATATATATCACTTGACTTTGCGACTTTCTCTTCTTATGCATCTCAAGGCAATATTTGAGCACTTGCACTTGCCTGATTAATGATATCTGAATAAATGGAATACCCTTAGGAGAGTTACATGACAATTTTGGAATGATCAAAAATTACTTGCTAATGTGAAAAGAGCTTGAATACTGGAGATTATCGGCTTCAAAAGTGTGTCCAGAATTGAAAAAGACCTATTAGCACTTTGCTAGAGCATCAACATGAGATCTCCCTCTGGAAAAAGACTATCTGGGCGAGATTGACATTTCAGACAACAAAGAAAGCAAGATAATGTTATTGAAGCCAAGGATCCTTGTTAGATCCGCATTCTCAGAGCCGATACTATATTACTCAGTAATGGCTTGATAAAACGAATCTTTGTTGAAGATGGGTAGTGAAGCGTTGATTTCTCTCATGTAGAAGGTCGAGAGTAACGTCCAAAGGTTTTCTTGATGGGCAAGGCTATCAGCTTTTCATCGCTTGCATCGCTTGCAAGCTCTGACTAAGGCGAAACTTTCTTTTCAAATACCAGTAGTGAAGTCCAGAAAATGATGAGAATATCCTTTACATCTTCTTAACTATACAATCATAGGAATTGCCAAATATGGTCGAAACTGATGTAATCGAATATAAATATATTTTATAGGATTTATTAATTTATAACTCTTTTCAAAATATATTTGATGTTTTTCTTTATTGTATAAACTTATTTATAAGAGATGCTAAGAGTCTGTATTATATACGGAGGATATATAGGGCAGAATCTTTCATTGTCTATATAATAATCTTACATACCTATTCCTTCTCATCCTGTCATTCAAAGCTACTTCTTTATAAGTTCTCAATTTCACTTTTTATCCCATCACCGAAAGCTACTTCTTTATATCTTCTCAATTTCACTTAGTTCTCATTCTATAACCCAAAGCTACTTCTTCATGTGTTCTCAATTCATTTTCTTCTTATGCTATCACCGAAAAGCTACTTCTTCAAATATTTTCTCAATTTCACCTTTCTCTCATCTTATCACCCAAAGCTGCTTCTTTATATCTTCTCCATTCTCTTCTTCTCTGGCGACTCTGGTGACGAGTGTGGTGGATACTCAAACCTAATCATCCGATTATTAATACATATCTATTCTACGCAAACAGCAAGCGAAAAGCTTACACTCGAAAGATATAGTAGCACAGCGTTATGCTGGACCATAATTGTACTGAGAGCATTTCATCTGCATGTTTTTTGTCGGGATCAAGCACCTTTTGCAATATGAGGAAGGCGGGGTGGAGGACCGCGATAATGTACGGCAAAGAGCGCCCCGCCTTGAGAAGGATATTTTTGAAATCGGATTTCCTGTGAAAGTGTCAGGTTCGATCGGTCTGTGTCTGTCCGAGGGTAAGAACTTACCGCATAGTGATAGTGAAGGCTTCTCTTGAAGTCGAAGGTTTCGTTGAGAGAAAAAGTTTATGAGATATATGCAGAGTAGCATAGTAGCAAAGTAGCAGACATTACCTATATACCGGTATATGTGTGTTGATATTAGTGTCGGCGTTAAGTTCTACCTATTCATCAGTTGGCAAGCTGGATAACTATGAGGCTGGGTATTGTTCCGTATAATATGCAGGACAATCTATATGGATACCGGTATTGGTCGCTTCCTCTGTGAGCCAATTGCTTGAGATGTGAGAATTAAGATAGCAGCGTTAATATTGTAACGCCACTACACTGCTATCATCACAGCAAGTTACCTGCTTTCTTCCATTTCCAAGCCGAAGCTTTGAAACTGTTCTAAACGGCTAACAACTTCACAGCGCAAATCAACCTTCACCTCCACCTCCACCTTCTTTTACCTCCTTAGCTCAACATGCGTTTTGCATTAACAACTCTCCTCGTGATGCACTGCGTCACATTAGCCTGCTCGCTCGCAGTTAGATCTCCTTCTACCATCGAGGGGCAGCCAATGCCCGACAGATGGATCAGATATGATCTGACACCTCTCAACACGACAACTACTGAGGTTTCTCTAACTCCACGCACACCCGCCAGCGTCTGTGAACGGATAATTCAAACCACTAACGTTCGTACATAATTTATATCTTCCCCCTTGCATCTTTGTAAGACGTCGTACCCGCGGCGTGTCGGATTCTCTGGTTCATAGCGAAATTGATACTAATTCTGCCGAAGGCCTGCCTCAAAATTGCCTCCATTCTCGTACAAGCCGCCAAGACTATAGGAGCCTCGATCAAGGCTCTATCAGACGATGGCAGCTGCAGCAAGTCTGAAGGCTCATGTAAGCTATTTCTCCACTTCTTCAGGAGTAAATTTCAAGTCCTATGCTGACTTGAACTCAGTGGATGGTCTTTCATGGGTGTATTACGCGACTGGACGTAACTGTGACACGACTGCCGAAGCGGCTACCATCCAGGGAGCTATCAAGCAACACCTGCAAACCACCGATGGGAGTGTATTGTGCGGCATGGAATGTCTCGACCTTACCCACTCGGGCACCTGGAGCGGCTTTCTTCTTATTGGACCAACATCCACCTTCAACAGTGCGGCATATTGTGGACCTACACTCTCTTTCACATCATGCTCATCCGGAGGAAATAATAATCAAACCAAAGAACAGTTATGTAATACCCTGGAATCTCTCTACTTGGACAATAAATATAATGTTTATGGTCTTATTTAACAAATAGTTTCTGTTATACTAGATTTCTTTATAATTCGAATAATTAAGATCAAATACAATTCCTTTATTATATTGCTTAAGGATAGATTCTTCGATTTCTATTCCAAGTTTCGTGATTTTACTGCTTAAGTAAAGATCCTTAACAATAAATATTTCTATAACAACCTATTCGACAAAACAGTATATTGCTTGATAAATATCTTTAACCATGAGTTCACATATTCTATTACAATTGATAAATATACTGAAATCCTAGATAATCTCGATATCATTTATCGACGATTTGTTACAATCTATATTCTCTATCCTTACTATTCTTTTCAAGGTATTTGTCCTACCCAATTATCTTCCATTTTCAATGCTTCAATATCTCGTAGTAGTATCTTTGGAGTATACAACAAATCTACAGTACCCTCTGATATGCCTTACCGTTTGCCCTCTGCCGCATTTATCCTTACTCTACGACATTTTTCAAGTGGACCCCTTTTTATTCCTTCTTCTGGTTTCAGATAAGCCATTTCTCAATATACACTTTGTATCTCTACAGTTATTAATGAAATTGATAATAAGATGAATCCTGAGTTGGATATTGAAAAATTCGATAACAATTATGGTAGTCAAGAAATTGACCAAATTAATCAAGAAATTGATTAAATTGATCAAATCGACCAAATTAACTGGACTGAGGATTTTCTACCTTGTTCAAAAAAGAATATTCTATAAATACTATCTCTTTTATAGGGCAAATATAGGATATGTTATACCTTGACTTATACATTTTTATAGATGGCCATTATCTCTCTTTTCCAATCACTTTGGTAAGGGATAGTATTGCACTCAAAATACAAGGTTTAATAGATTCTGGAACCAATGGTTATGCTTTAATTAATCAGAACCTGGTAAAGTATCTTGATTAAGTCTACTACCCCACTTTCGGGCCACCCTAAAAAAAAAATGACCCCCATCTCCCACACCATATAACTCAACAACTATTCAACTTCAATAAAATCGCCTGTACTATCACTTTCAGTTGTACCATCGCTATCTTCAGCATTAATTCCATGGTCTCCAGTCACGGTTTGTGCTTCCCTGATAGCTCTAATCCCTGTAAACCTGGTATTTGGACTAGTAACAACCTTACGTCTTTTCTTAGGTACAACAGTATCCAATTGATATTTCAATTGCTTTATACGTTTCCCCGATTCTAAAAGATTATAGTCCTTGATATCAAAAGTTTTAATAATCTTACGAAAAAGCAAGCGTCTCGTCACCAAATCGGGCTTTTTTTCTTGAGTCATATTGATTGATTG